GTCCTTTTGGAACACCAGCGCTGCCCAGACGCTGTGACTGCTCCACATCTGCTTTGTTTGCAGCCACACGACCGACTTGAATGGTTTTTATTTTTCCAACCACCCAATGGAGACAATATACTCTTGTGTCGACTTTGGAAAAATGTAATCAGCCAACACCAAAAGCACAAGTCATAAATCTTTTGAGCAATCTCTCCTTGTCATCTTTTGTTAAGGGAGCAAACAGACAGCCATGCTTTGGGGAGCCACCTGTCATGGACCATTGGGTGTTGATGGTACTGATACCTGAGCTGTATACCTTTCACACTTTCTCATGTTTTTTCTCCCTCCCTTTGACTTTCTTCAAGTGAATACAATTGTAAAAAGGGGTACTTGAGTTTGACACAGGAGTGGACAGGCCTGAGAGGCTCTGGGCCAAAGAAGTCAGAGCCAAAATATGGGTCAGTTTAACAGCTTTTATGATGCGAGAGTTGCTGTTTGAAGCTTTTTATTTTGAAACTTTTACTGATTCTTGAATGTGAAATTGAATGATTTTGGCTTTAGACTACATTCTTCATCCGTTTGGTTCTCTCTATCTCCGCAAAAGTTTTAAGCTGTATCTATTGTATTCCTCTCATTTCTCATATAAAACTATTGAAATTACAGTTTGTCTCATGCAAAAAAGACAGCATTAACACCAATCAAATCTTCATATAATCAGGCAGCAAAAGTGCTAGACAAGAAACCACTAAAGCATCATCATTGTCAAAACCTTACAAAATATAAAATGTTAAAACTTTGAGAATTTGATTGTGTATTTTGATGTGTGATTAACATTTTTAGACAATGCTGCACTTTCACCACTTTGTTTCGCCACAGTTTCGCTCTGAGCAGACCACTAGAACCTCCCTCCATAAGTCACAATGACTGCAGACTCTCCAGATGTAGCTCAGCATTTGTACAGACAGCCATTTCATACATGGGCATCAAAGAATGGAACAAGTTCCCAAACAGGCTGAAACTCTCCTCCGACCTCAGGGACTTCTCTTATAATGTGAGGAAAGTCCTTCTAGAGAGTCAGCACTGTCAACACTGATTTGGATTTGCATGTAATAAATTGTAATGAAGGCTTATATGGTAATATCTGATTTGAGTCATTTTAAATGCAGAAATGTCGACTGTGAGGTTTTTGAATCAAAGAATGGAAGAGTGCATGTTTGATGGTAAAATGGGTGGATACTTGGATGTATTTTAATAGTTTGTTAACCTGCCCAGGGACTGCAAATGGAAACTAGCTTTAGCTAAATCTGGTGTAAAGCATTTCTTATTTTATGAGATGAATGTGTTTGCACATGGTCCATGTTAAACTAAACTAAAAGCTAAACTAACTTAAAGCCACAATGTGTAAAATTTTAGCCAAAAAGCAGACAAAAAATAAATGCATGAATTTTCATTTTGGTTGTGTCGGTTGCACTAAAAAACTCTTATTTGGCCTGGAGGAAGGCCGTCTCCTGCTACTGCTCATTTGGCTATAATGTTCCAGTCCACCCTATGGCATAAAACATATCTATCTTCATGGAGAAAGATACATGATATGGTTTTAACTTTCTATTTCCATGGAAACGTGTAGGTGACATGCCACCTTCAGAAAGTTACATACTTTACCTTTAACATAGCAGTCAACAAGGCAGTTATAGTTTGATGGAGCGTGAGTAGACAAAATCTTTCAAAATGCAAGTGAATGATCTCGGCTGCAAACTACAGGCTGTGCACATCTACCTAGTTCTTTACAAATACTTGGGCAAATTATAAAAAGCAAATGGACCATGTTGGGTTTTGAGCAGAAATTTTATGAGTCTTATATTTAGTTTCTATTTTCAACACAGAAAAACAAACTTTTTAACTGATATTAAACTGTGTAAGACCAGGGTGGATCCAGTTGGTTTCATCTGGATTGCAAAAACTGCAGACTTTTATGCAGCCTGACAGACATGCACAGTAGCTTTGAGTTGTAACATGCTTTAGCAAGAACAAATATATCGACCATAACAAAATATAAATGTAATGTGCCAATAAAAACACATGGTGCATCACTAAAAACAACCCTGCCACACATGGAATAACTACTGTGGGCAGTTTTAATGCAATGGTCGAGGTCTGGCATAGAAGAAGCAGAAAAAGCAGATAAAACAATGAAAGCTAAAACAGAAGTTAAAAGCATTAAAGTGGGGGTATAAAACAAAATGTATGTTTTTTTTGTTTTTTTTTAGCTTTCTACCATATTATATAATGTTTATCCTTCATCAGAAACATGCCTGAGCAATATCTCACAGGTCTTATTCAAACCCTCCTCACAATTAGCTCTAAGATTCGGTTCAATGCTCAGCCCACAAGCCCAAGTCAACCATGCTCCTAACACTCTTCTCCATAAATATACAAAAACATGATACAAAACTATACACGCTACACAGTATACAGTACACCAATCTGACAAACCTGATGTGCAGTAGTTTCATTAGTGGTTTTCACACTGATTGTCTTGTGATAGTGCTCTCGAGGTGGAGAGACTTAACAGGATGTACAAAACTCATTCTCATTCTCAAAACTCATTCAACATATTAATGTTGTTTTCGGCGAAGCAATATAAGGTAATCTAGTAATTTAACTATGCAGCAGTTAGCACCTCATAGAGGTAAACTACACCCTCTCACCAAGGGATAGTTAATGTTTTTTTTTCTCAATTGTATTTTCTTCTACACAAAAGTAAAAGCAGCACAGTCTGTTCTAAAATGTAAAGTGGATTGTTGCTTTTATTATAGGAACACACAAACTTTAGGACCAGTTCAATACCAATACCGCCAACACCATAGTCACTTCTATACTGTAATTTATCTGAGCATTCGTCAAAGTAATTTAATAAGTTGATTCCTTTATTACTCCAAACCAGTAAACCAGCTCTCTCAAGTATTGGAAAATCCATTTAGGAATGAAAACACAGAAAGAAAACCATTACGGACACATTAGAGAACGGAGATGAAAATAGATGTTGTGCTGGTGCCCAGCGTTGGCAAAGCACTTTTCCACATAAATCAAAAGAACGGCTGTAGCACGCTGCAGCCTATCAGAAGCCAGCTTTACAAGACCATTACCACTATTGAACCAAGCCAGCTTCACCACATAAACACACACAAACAGTAGAAAAATTACTCTGCAACCTTGGACTGGACTGTCAAGACAATCCAGGTTAACAAAACAAGTTATTACCAAAAATTCCAGCAATTTCCTCAGGTCAGTCTCAGTCCCCCCCCCCCATCATAATGTGCAAATTAGGGCTGGCAAACAATATTTCCTCGTATTGATAAATCCACATTTTTGATTCAGTCTGACTTTGTCTTATTTTTAACTAATAACAAAACAAACTAAATGGTTTTCATTATGTCCTGAACACGAAAGGCTTTTGTTAAATGGAGCTAACATAAATTCAGCCCGGAAGATCTAACTTTGCTCCCATCTACCTCGCCATTCTAGAGTTTACCTGCTCCTCAGCTGTCATTACCTCACTCCAAATACTCCTCTCTACTGCTTGCTCCTCTTCGTCCAATCAGCAACCAGTCTGCCCAATTTAAACCCCCAGTGCAAGTACATATCCGTTTCGGTTTATGCTGCTCCCCAACTCCTCCCCAGCCCCCCTCGGCTTCTGGTCATCTCATTGTCTCCCCCACTCTTCTCAGCCTCACCTCTACCACCTCCAGTGTCCAGGCCCCAAGGGGAAGACATCTCCTAAACGTCATCTAATCAGCCGCACCCTTCATCATAATATCTTCTGCCAGGGTTTGAGCGCCAAAACTAACTCATTCAATAAAACTACTGATACTTTCTCTACGTGTCAGTCTAAGTCTCTCCAGCTTAACGAGGGGGTATTATGCAAAAGGGTTTTTTGTTGCTTTCTACTATTATATAATGTTGTTTCCTCATCAGAAACATGCCTGAGCGATCATGTCCAATGCTCAGCCCACAAGCCTAAATCCTCCATGCTCCTACACTCTTCTCCATAAATATAAACAAATCTGATGTGAAGTGCAGTAGGTGTATCTGGAGGTGGGGAGATTTAACAGGGGGAGCAAAGGGAGGAGAGAGGAAGAGCTTAAGAAACTAAAACAAAATTCATTCCACATGTTAATATGTTGTTTTCGGCAAAGATAATCTAGTAATTTAACTATGTTATGTGTGAGCAGTTGGTACCCCATGGGAGTAAACCACGCCCTCTTTAAATGAAATTAAAAGATTTGGAACGAATTTAATTGCTATTTTTGACAAAATTCTCCTCCAAAATTAATTTTCTGACAGTAGACATTACATTTAATAAAACACAAGCTTATTATTGATTACAATTGATGGAATCTAGATCTCAATTCAAATTTGATGAGTTGAATTGCACAGCCCTCAAATATGATTATATATGTTGATTTTATCTTACTACCACTAATCAGATATAACATTTTCACCTACAGTACATACCAATACTCCTATTCGCATAAATGAGCTTCCCAAACAGCAACTAGCTCTGATCAGGCTCACCTATTTTCTTTCTTCTTACTTATAAAATGAAAACTAAGTTGCAACCATTAACATGTACCATATAATATATAAAGGAGATGGTGGTACTTGTTCATTTGCCGTTACTACAAACCTTTAATCACTGTAGCACATAAGCTGGACATGCATAACTGTGTGTGTGCTACCTTTAGCCTAAGATTACACACAAGCAGCTAAATCCCAGAGTCAACATTTACTTAGAGGACTGAGAGTCAATGGAGAGTAGAAGCAGCAGGTGTAGTAGCAGTGGAGTCTCAATGAAATCCTCATATCAGTAACACAAGAATCAGAGTGGCTTATGTAGGACTATAAGAGGGAAAACTCATAATACAAAGGACAAGACTTCTGTACATCATGAGCACACACTGGACATAAACTAAGCAAATGTGCAAAGCTTAATCGCATGGCAGATAAGTAGTACTTACATTTGCCCCGGTCCCATTCACTGTCCATGATGCTTGTAGCCGATTTGATTCATCAGTTGTCCTGGTGTGACCCTGTGTAACAACAATATATAGCATATACATTAAAATTATGCCTATATTATACTAAATTGTGTAGTTAAAATTTCAACCCTACTTCTAAAGGCAACTACTATTTCAAAGAGTGAAATGAATGAATGACAATGAATAAAAACTAGCCCAGATTTACCCTCTAAAGGTTTCCTATAGGTTTACACTGAGACTATGGTGGTACAAGCTAAACTCCCTCTTGAATTTGTTCACTTGTATGTGTTTTATTGCTCAAAAATACCTAGCAAAATACTAGCATGTCGACTCTCCACAGATCTGAGCCCTGATTTGGCCTTGTGATGTCATCATCTTGTCTTCAAGGAGACATATGTGTATCTCTGTACTGTGGAACATTCCAGGTAAAGCAATAATTTCTCCAGGAAGACAAACAGATGGTAATATTAGCCTACATTGTTCACCATGAAAACGTACCTGATATAATCCCAGAACCTGTTGCAGGATGGTGTGCACGTGCAGGGCGTACTGGTGTAGTCTCCTCTGGTACTTGGTCCGCGTTAGTTTGGCCTCAGTCTGGGCTGTGTTTGCCCGGGCCACCAGCCACTGCTCCCTGCGCTCCCACCCGAGCCTCGCCATCCGCCCCTCGTGCTCCAGCGCCGCGCTCCGGTCCTGCAGCTCGTCCGCCAGAGCGCGCAGAGCCTCCACACAGCTGTGCTCCTCTGGGCGCTCGGCACACAGCAGCAGCCCGCATCCTTCACCACACAAAATTTCAGTACAGTCTTCCGGGTCGAACTGTGGATCCATATTCCAGAAAACAAAACAGCTGGAGTTTCTTTTAGCGCAAGGAAAAGTGCATGCTTTGGAGAAGAGGTTATAAGTTTGCGACCAAGTTTGTGCAATGACTCCGGGCACATGAGAGTGAGAAAAGTTTTGAGGGACATTAAAGAACTACGCCCTCTCTGGAGATGGAAGGAATGACTACTAGATAGAACCCCATATCTGGATGCCAAAAGAACCGTAATAATTATAAAACTACATAGTAATGAATATATTGACAGTCATCTACAATTACATAGAAATACATTATGTAATTTAAATTTAATTGGATTGTTATTGGTGAGTTTGTGTTCTGTAGCTGGAGGAGTCTTAATTATTTGTAATGCCAAAACACTCCAGCAGAGGTCATCAAAAGGATAGACTTTTACCAATTCTAATATAGAATCTTGGGAATTTTGTCAGGAAAAAAACAGTTTTTCGTTGGTACTTCGTGTACACAAAGAAGAGACCACACGTTCAGTGGACTATTAATAATATAAGATGAGTATATATGTAGTATCTATGTATAAGTATATTGGGCAGTAGGCTGGTATACAACTTTATGTAGACCTAGCCATTGCTGTAAAATGTGCAGAAATTTGTCAATTTTCTCACTTGATTCATAAGTAAATTTTACCAGCTCCCTTTTTACAAAACATACAGATCATATTTCAGAGATGTTTAAAATACCTCTATGTCACAGACAGTAACCTTATCCTAGTTCTCCTAGTTCTGTGCCCCTCTTTTCGGTGTATCCTGCCTGATCTCCGGTTGGTCCCGCTCCTCCTGACACATGACATATAACAGACCCTTGACACAGAGGCTCACATTTCACCTTTCTCTCAGATCAGCCCTGGCCCTACTCACCGCTCAAACAGGGCTCTTACACAAGTGTGTTTTGTTTTGTCTGCACCATCACAGAGAAGGTGTCCATTTACAAAGACTGTATAGAACAATTTGTGTACACCTGCCTGCACCCATGGGAGACACTCATCAAGGAGAATATGACGTCTTTATAAATATCTGTGATTGTGGTTGGTCTTATTTGAGTTGAGTATTGTTGTTTCAGATTTAGAGATCATTTTCCACTTCTCGTACGCCTTCAATAGTCTTTTATACAGAATATATGATATCAAGCTTTGTGTTGTTACGGTTCTCAAATTGCATCTTTTTAGTTGAATCTAATCTTTGAAAACAGTGGTGTGATCTGTTTTTCATCTTCTAGAAACTTAATATTAAGACAGAAGTAGAACAGCTGTTTTTGCTTAAAATAAAGGCACTAAGCTCCCCTGTGCATGTAATGAAAGACAAGCTGTACACCATAATACCTTAATACCTGAATATTATTTACTGGCATCATTAGCAGTGTTATTTGATCAGGTTTCTTGCTTTGTTTGAGGAAAAAATGCTGAATTAAATATATTCACTATTCAGTATTTCATCTGGAGATCACAATAATACTTAAAACATACATTTTCTTATTTTAGTTCAATTAAGATTAATAATAAATTAAGCTTTAAAGGGCTGTAAGAAGGGCTATTTTCTGATCTATGTTATAATGTTTCCTCATCACAAACATACCCGGAGTTGTGTTTTGTATTCACACATGTTTAACACACAAATCCTAAATATTTAGGAGTTTTTCTTTCACACACTCTGTTCCACCTTGTGATGTAATGTGGTGATACTGGAAGTGTTTCAGCTTTAGAATTGCACTGCTGGGGCAGGACACATTTTGAAAGCTCATTGCGAGCATGGGCGGGAGCGGGACTGCACAATACGGGAGCAGGCAGGTGGGATGATAAACTGCAGTCCCACAAACTAAATATTGTGTGTAAAGTAAAATATACAAATGATTAATGTATGTATGTATTTTTATTTGGCATTAATAAAAACATTTTAAGCAGCCTAAATATGCGGATGTTTTCTAATCTCACGCAAATTTCAGACAATTCCTTTCTGCTTCTCCTTGTCTGACAGAGCTTACGAAAGTGAACGTCAACATTTTGCGGGATTTGTGGGCGGGAGCAGGACAAACTATCGCAGATGCAGGTGGGAGCAGGACTGAAAGTTACAGTTCTTTGCAGGCGGGAGCAGGACTGAAAAATCTATTGCCCATCTCTGCTGAACTAAAGTGAAAGGTAGCTGTAAACTTGAAAACCATTGCTTCATGACAACATAAGGTGGAACAGAGCATTTTGAGTTTTGGAGAAGTAGACAGACTAATGATGCATAATTTTTCAAACATGTGAATAAAACACAACTCCAGGTCTGTTTTTGAGGTGGCAATGGCATTATAATATGGTTTAAATCTCACAAGAGTCAATTTTGTGTAATATAAGGTGAAGGTGAACTTTTTGACCTTGACTTTTCCTGTTGAGTCATGTAATTTCAGTTTTATAAAAGTTTTGTTTAAAAGTTCCAGAGGTAAGCAAATTTGTGGCTATCCGCAAACTGGGTCAGTGAATGCCAAAAGTTGTATGGTTTGCAAAGGGAACATAATGTCCCCACCACTACCTGGCCACTACATATGACATCACATTCAATACAAGGCTAAAAACTATCATCATTTCTTGACCAGAGGCTCCCACACAAAATAAAGAACACATGTAATAGTTAACTACACCTTTATTGTACCTTTTTCCAGTCTTATCCCTCACTGAGTTCTTCTCTTTACCACATAATGCTGTCTCCAATCCCAGCCATAGCGTTAGAATTGGACCGCTCACTTCCTCTAACCTCCGCGTCTGGTTTTCCCCTCACAGAAGATGTCTCTTTGAGCTAATGCACAGTAGGTTCAAGTCTATAGAGTTTCTGCTGTAAAGGGATGTCACTCCACATAAAAGATGTTCCTGCTCCTCTGACGGTTGCTTGGAGAATGACAGTTGGAGAGAGTAATGGACCATCTTATCCAGTCTCATGCATGTTACGAATTCAGAACCACGGCTGTGTCAAGGCATTCATGCATTTGGCAACTGATTTCAAAATGATCGCTTGCATGGAGGAAAACTGGGGGAAAGCACTCTGCGGTGGCTTTTGTTATAGACAAGGAGAGACATGTGACCAGTCAAATGTAGAAATTAATTTGAAATGCAGCATTGTTTTTCTTAAAGGTGCATTGTGTAACTTTTCTGTTAGAAGGCCTGTCAAATGCTTTTCTCTGTGGAGATGTTATCGCTTTGTCTGAAATGTTTCAAAGTGTGGTATTAAACCTTTCTATTTTCATGGAGACCAAACCAGACCAAGTTACAGGTCAGATCTGTGGAGAGGCAACCCCACTCACAGTCAGAATGCCTGTTTTTTAAGGTATTTTTTGAGCTATAAAACCAGCTGTAATTGAATAAATGTAAGGTTAAATGTAAGGCTTTTTAATGTCATACTGTGAAACCTTCCAGGCAAAGCAATGGCATATCTATAGAAACAAGCAGGTGACGGACACCCAGTAAAAAGTTACATCGCAACTTTTCTGGTGGAGGGTCCGTTACTTACTTGTGTCCATGGAAATGTTACTTCTCTGCCCCAAATGTTCTATGGTATGATTTATGTCATACTATCTAGCATTCATTCATTAAGGGTGTTTCTATTGCTCAAAAATTCATGAATTCCTTCTTCTCATTTACCTCATGAAGCAATAACTTTTCCATAGAGACAAGCAGGAGGCGGACCTTCTACTAGAAATGTTACGCAGTGCACTTTTAACCACCATGTGTCACGTGACAAAGAAATATAATATCTGTTATGGTAAACAGCTTATAGACTGGGAACAAATCTGGTCAGAAAAAAGGAATATAAAATGATAACTTGCATTGAATGAGCTAACACAAATGGCTTTGCTCACAGAAGCTCACATCAAATCAAATGTACAAGATTGCTGTTGAAAGAGCTAGGCAAGTTGTTTTGATACAAATATAAAGTTGCCACAGAATAAGCGGACATTGCACAATAGCTTTCAGGGCATGAGTGTCTCAATGATACCTCCTAGATAGTGGTTCTCCCACACAGAAAATGGAAATGACATGAACGTGTTATGTAATAAACATATGTCATAAAACGGCAACATTCATGAGGAGCACCAATTGGTGCAGCTGAGGGCCGGACCATACAGTCAAAGCACCAGAGTTGGTCCACTTAAAGTTGCATTGTAGAACTTTTCAGGTAGAGTGTCACCTGCTTACCTCCCTGGAGATGGATTTGTCTAAAATATCTCGCACATAGAACTATAATAAAAACTGGAAGATGAATCCAAGATGGTGTCGTGTTGTTTTCAATGGCCTGTGCTCAGTGGCGCATGGGCCCAAAACATTTTTCATTTCCGAATTTACTTCCTCAATAGGGGCTAGCGCCTCCCACCCGTGTGACATCTGTACGTGCACGGCATGGAGTGTTTGGACCAATCAGAGCAAGAGCTGCTAGAGTAGAACTAGCCCGGGCTCAGAGCGAGGCTAAGTTAAGTCTAACAAAGGTAACTTTTAGGCGCTTTGAGGATTAAAAAAAAAATAAATAAATGCATGTTGTTTAAAATAGAAAAGAATCTCTACAAAATCCGACCTTTGTGAAAGTTGTCAGAGCCCTGTCAGTCGAACACAGGTAGTTTGAATTCCCAAAAAATGCATTGTGCTTGTGCGGCTCCCAGGAGCCGCAGTACCAATGGAGCAGCCACTAGTTGATCTCGAGCCGGGACAGAGGAGGAATGCCTTATCCAGTTTTTATTATAGATCCATGGTTTCACACTATGGCATTAAACTTAACCATCTAACATTCATTCAATTATGGGTGCTTTTATTGCTCAAAGAACATACACACCTACAGTCAGTGGGCCACCCCCTGCACAGATCTGACTGTTATCTGGGGGCATCTCCTACTTGTTTCCATGGAGATAGTTAAGTTTAGTATCATACTGTGAAACATTTCAAGCTATTACATTGTCATGAAGACAAAGATGTAGGCGGACCCTCCATCAAAACAGTTACATAGTGCACCTTTAATGATGAAGAAGTGTTTCAGTAAAATAAAAGGACATGAGTCTTGTTGAGCAGCTTACATAGTTTTCAGTGAGAATTATTTCATGCCTTTAATTTCCTTTGTACACCTGAATCTGCTCTATGAGCTTAAAGATATACTATGCAACTTTTCTGGTGAAGACCCCCCCACCACACTTGTGTCCATCAAAATGTTATTGTTTTGCCTGGAATATTCTTCTGTATCCTGTTAACTGTGTCTATCTCCATGGTGGTAATCAAGTACATGTCAGATCTGTGGAGCGGTGATTCCACTTACAGAAAAAATGCATGCTTTCCAAGTATTATTTGAGCAATAAAAACCTGTTACTGAATAAATGTAAGATAGATACGTATAATAATCTACTATGGAACATGTCAGGCAGAGCAAGAACATTCCCGAGAGTGTGAGAAAAGTTACATAGTTCATCTTTAAAGACCAGAAAACACACTGCATTATTTTGCAATGGAGTCACCAAAGCTATCCCCTAATATGAACTCAAGTTACACATTTATAGATTTTACTACTTGAAGAAGCAGACAGCATACTGTTACATAACCAAAATATTACAAACCTCTTAACCATATTTTGTATTTGTTGTAGGTATTTTCAATTGCTTTGACTGTATGATTGTGGCCCGGGTGCCTCAATATTGAAGCGAATGTGTGAGAATGCCACTGAAAAAAACATACAAATTTACAAAGTCATCCACTTATCCTTCACAACTCCTTGATTTGCTCGTACAGTGGAATGCAGAGAAAAGGTCTCTTTGAATACACAAAAACCTTCAGTCACGGACAATCCAGGAACAAGCCAGTGTGAAAGATAAGTGCATCCATTGATATAAGGCATATTTAAAGTCAACTCTCCCTCCTCCAGAGATATTAAATAATGTTCCATATCTGTGTCTTTTGCACACTTGAGAGAGGGCAGGAGAGTTGGTATAGGTGACGTCCTGTTTACAAAGTAGAACCAGCAGAGTGTACGGAGGTCCCTTAGTCCCTTGGTAGGCGTCGGCCATAAAGAGTGTCCTTCACGGAGAGCTGAGTCCAGAGATGGTGCTACATTCAGAGGGTCAGGCAGAGCACAGCCACCAGGGGCAGGAGGAGGGAGGAGTAGAGAGACCACAGGGACATGGCACCTCCACCTACACACACAAAAGCAAGTGTGTTGTTAAAAGAATAAGAACTAAAGCAGTTTCAGCTGGATGCATTCACAACATCAGAGTTAATTCATAGACAGTAAAGTAGCAAGTTTTAACTTTGTTTATTAGGGATGTAACAATAACTGAAATACTGTGTTATTGTATCATCAAAGTTCTCACACTAATATTGTGGACCATCACAATATATCAAATTACAAGTCTCTTTGCTTAAATTAAGTGTTATGGTGCAGCAAAAAAGAAAAGACAGAGGGGACTACATAGACCATGATCTTTTGTTCCATTTCAGTGTAGACTACATGAAGAAATAACAGTTCTAAGCACTTTTAAGTCTTAGTTCTTTGGATTAAGTCTTCTCAAGGCATTTTAAGAGGAAAAAGTAACATATTAACAGTTAACAGAGCTTTCCCACGATATTGCAATAAAAATCGTACCGTGAGGTTCATACTGTGACGATATCGTATTGTGAGACTTGGATATGTTACACTCCTATTGTTTATGTTCCATTATGACACAGTTCAAAAATGGTTGTGATAGTCTAAAGGAGAAATACAACTATTAGTATAAAAATGACTGATACTACAACCACTACTGATACTATTATAAGTGTGATTATAGCTCCTTCCAACCTTTGAGATGCAGATTTTTTTCTTGGCAGATCCCAATTTTTGAGAATCCAAAGAAGGCAATTGGTTAATAAGCTTATATATAAATATTATATTATATATAAATATTATTTAGGCCAATAAGTGGGGCCAATTTAGATAAATTTTCTCCAATTTATATAATTTGAAATGACTACAAATAACTGCCATTGCACGGCTCTATATAACAATAGTATAATGACAAAAAATATTATCTATGGTGATATTTTTGTACATCCACAACCCTGCTATACTACACATCTATAAGGGAGAAATGTAACAAGGTGGTCATTACTAACAACATACCCACCTAAAATGGAGATTGCAAATATCTGTCTATATTAAACCACAATCCCATACCCAATATCTGCCTCAATTTCAAGCTTCTACCCTTACATAAATCACACTACAGTCCATTAGAAAGATGTAGAGCTGATATGCTGGAAATCACCCAAAATGCTACCCATTTGTCAGTGTCCTGCATTCACAGTCCCTCTTGGTTTATATTCTCTGTGAAATCAAGCTGTCAGGAGGGTCTGCACAGAGTGATAAGACCAAACCACACACACCACGTATACAGGGTTTCCTCTACATCAAGATCAATTACAGGGGCTTAAAGATCCCCCCACCTGTGAGCGCTCTAACTGTCACTCTCACTGCACAGCGAAGGATGGGACCAGTCAGCAGCCTATCAAAGCTTTAGTCACGCATGGTAAAGCCTCTACTCTCAGCCCTATACTGCAGGAACATGAAACCTGAAGAGAAAGCCATTGGGGATCACAGATATCTGATGATAACACCGAAGCAGGATTTCAAGTTATGGTTTATGTGTTAGAGATATACGTGTGATTCAATATTATTATGTAAAATATTCAGTACATAGGTGAGACAGTGATAGAAATAATAGAAACTTGGGCTACTAAAGATAAGAGAAGCTTTAGTTATTTAGATATAAAATCCTCTCAATCTAACAATAAATATATAATGTCTAAATATCTATTTATGGTCTTCTTCTAGGCATCCTGTCTGCAGTTTGACCTCAGGAATCATCTATCAGTATACTGACTCATCACATATTATCTTGATTGTCTCACTGTGCCAACAAAGAGCTCATATTATGCTATTTTCTGATTTATGTTATAACATTGTTTCCATCACAAACATACCTGGAGTTGTGTTTTGTTTCATTCAAACTCTGCATATTTAGGTTGAATTCTTCCCTCAAACTCTTCCATACACCTTCACTAGAATCATTTGAATCATTTCAGCACTGGAATTGCCAATCTCTACTGAACTAAAGGTAATAGGTAGCTGTTAATTTGAAAACTACTGCTTCATGAGTCTATGTTGCATGATATAGGATTTAAATGAACTAATCATCTAATATGCTATGTAGATAAGAAATAAAAAGATTATTTTAATAAGTGATAAAAAAGCATACTTAGGATTTCGATTTGTCCCACGGGTCCATCCCCTCCTTCTGAGTGTGCTCGGACCTCCACCACATACTTCCCATCGGTGAACACGGGCAGGTCGATGTAGAGCTTGTTGGTCGTGAAAAGAGACCCTGTGGAGTGGCCCATTTTTCTATATAACACCTACAGGAACCAAGACAGAACATATATTTGACCATGAGAAAATTATGACATGACTTCTATACATCAAAACTTAACTAGGAAAATGTACTTACTCTGTATTCATTCACTGGAGCTTCATTTTCCTGAGGTCTCACACCCTCCCAGGAAATATTAACCATCCCCCTGTTAAACTTCTTGGTGACTTTAGGGGCTTGTTTAGGAGCTGGAAAGGGGACAACAGTTGGAGGAAACAGTTATTGGACAGTCTATCAATAGGAATGCATGTTGATAAGCACATTTACATGGTTTGGTGTTGATTAATGTGCAGTGCTCCTTTCAACAAAATAAAATACAACAGTGAGAGCAAAAATCTTTCGCTAACAGTCTTACGTGATTTTTTGGTGTGGATCTGCAGGGGGTCACTTGGTGGTCCGTATCCCGCAGAGTTGTACCCTCGTATTTCTATAAAGTAGTGTGAGTCTGGTTTGAGCCCGTCCAGCCTTGTGTGGTTCTCCTTATGGGATACCACCACTTTATGTTCTCTCTCCTCTGGGTCTCTGTGAGTGCGCCAGAACCTCACCTACCACAGACCACAGCGGTTAGTTCCCATAAAATAACATTATATAACATTTCATAACATTTTAGTTGGCATTTTTTAGTACTACTCACCTGGTATCCATCTATAGCGCTCTGGTTGAGAGGCAACCACCAAAAAATGGCTGTGGAGGCAGACAAAGCTTTGCCGCTTATTATTTGTGGAGCTTTTGATGGAACTGGAAAACAGAGAAAACAAAACTGAGTGTTATATTTACAGGCCCAACACTTTCTACAGTCTGTTCGTCTATTTACAATCTCTCTATTGACATTTAATACTATATTTGAAGACTCAAGAATCAACTTTACACTATCCCACTTCTCAAATACCAAGAGCTCTTTTAGTGAAAAAAGCTTGGTAGAAAAGGTTCAAAAGGTAGTAATCTCGACAATGTTTTTGATATTGAGATGTTTCAACTGCAATTCTAGCTTCTCAAACCAGTACCCTCAGAACGAAAATGGCTCTTGGATGGCAGATGAAACAACACAATTTCAAAAACATTGTCCAGATGATTGGCAGATCAAACCCTTTCTACCGTGGAGCACTCCTGGACGAATGAGAGATTACACCAACTAATTGATATTTTTAGATAAATGAGTCACATAATTAAAATAATAATTCAGATTCAGATAAATATGTCAGATCAGATTCCCCTTTCAACACAATCAGAGCCTAAACAGAACTGAAACATGTTTTACAGTTACCATTAATACAAGCACAATGATATATTCTCAACACAATCATGCACACACTACCAGCCTAGTATCAGTAAAGCACAAAGCAGCAGTATGCCGTCTGTGCCCAGCAAGAGACAAAAACGATAAAACCATTGACACTGAAAGGGCAGGATCTTGTCAGGATGTTACCATGGCGACGGGGTATCAGGGTGCACCATCACGCCCGGTTTTGCCTGTGGTTATCTCAACTGTCTGTCAGTGCAAGTTAATAACTAGGCTAAATACTCTGCATCCTTGGGCAAATTATCAGCTCCCTGGTTCATGCTAAATAGATCAGGATAATCCTTGTGAATGAGCGAAGAGGAGGAGGAGAGGAGGATGGCTTCACTTTCAAGAGGCATTACAATTCCACACTATACATGAAAACAGGTCTCAAAGCACTCAAAGCCCTGTAGTGATAAGTAGCTGACAATGATATAGTGTTAACATTAGAACGCAGGTTAAGCTTTGGCTTGATTTTACAGTAAGATAAGTGTAACTTCCCCTTTGTGACTGTACGTGGAAAAACTGTGAAGTGGTAAGAAATGCTAGTGTGGAATAATCAAAGCTACAAATATCTACCTCAGCTTCAGTACAGCATTACACCACTACCACTTTACGATCTACTAGTAAAAATTTATCCTTAGCATGAGTTTCTGGAGCAAATCTAACTTGAAAAAACACGTAAAAATAAAAGTTTATGTGGTCAAAATGATCGTCCCTCCAAAAAATATTTAAAGGTACACTATGTATGTTTTGTCTTGGATGTTCTATAAATATAGCAATACAGTTAAATACATTGCCTACATTGGGTACTTTTGCCATTTTTCTGTAGATGGCAGACCCTCCAAAATTCTACAGTACAACTACAAAGCTCAGATTGTTACAGATTCTGAACCATACATTATACATAGAAGGATCTAGTTGAGTGATGATAGCACACTTTAAATAGACTCCTATAACTCACTGTCCTGTGCAGAGTAGATGGTTGCCGTCGTGCTGTAGGGACCTTCTCCTTTGCTGTTGAACGCTTTGACTTTGACCTGAAACTCTGTCATTGGAGGGATAGTGGAGTCTTTATGAACGTAGCGCTTCGCCTGGGGGTCGGCCACTGTCACGTATCTCCACTCATAAGTGTTTTTCTTTTTGAAGGCCAAGATGTAGCCAAAGTTTGGTCCAAAGTAGTACTGGGGCTCCACGGGCTGAGGAGAAGTTAGGGAGAGTTAATCACAGTTTCTGAAATTATGAAAAATAACTTAACCATTTAAAGTGTTATAACCACTCAGTTTTTGAATTCAAATGAAAGAATTATACAAAAAACATCATGTATGGAGTTAGACTTTCTTTCTACCTGGTTTACTCCTCTTTTAGTGCAAATATTTAATTAGGCGGTGTGAAAATCGAAGAAATCCATTCGATCACTGTATTAATTTATCTGTTTATATTTCAGTTTTAGATAATTCGCCACCCCAAATGTTAATGCTCCGGGAGCTTTTACAATGTGCACTCAGATTAATATATCACAAGTCACAACTGTAATTTTATATTTTTTCTATGACAATGACAGTAAAATCGTGAATCTTGAATTAATACTTATCCCTAGTCTGTATATGAATATTTGCTGTTGAGATCTGCAGCCCTGTGCAAAATCTCCAAGTGGAAAAAGAGTTAAAGATAATGCCGTTGCATTTCCCGAATAAGGTGCATAACCAAGCATAGCCGATTGGAAAGATTGTCTAAATAGGCTTTATCACAGTAGTTTTCCAGTTTGTGAGTAGTAGATTTCAGGGCTCATTTCTCCTGCTACCTGTGTGGTGCTGTCTGTATTAGACATGACTAACCTCTTCCCACACGCTCACATCCCATTTGATAGGAGGTAATGTGAACTTGAGAGGGCATCCATAACGCATTGCCACGGAAACGTGACGGATAATGATTCAGAAGCAGTCATTGATTTTTGTGAGGAGTGAGCCTTCACTAAATATGACATCATCAAAGATACATGATTTCCTACAGGCAGCACAGTGGAGTACACAAAATATTGCAGAGATGTGGTAGCACTGGTAACAAACTGTTTGTTTGTTATTGAAAAACCCTGGGAGGATCTGTCCAGTTTTGACCAGATTGTATTTGAGGGAAGTTTAATCTCCCAGACATGAGTAATTTATGTAACCTGTGTGGATTTTAATAGAAATACTTACAGTATTATACAATAAGAAACAGGGACTAAACCAGGATTAAACCTGAGAGTTGACTGATTTTTGGCTAAACATATTAAAGATCCTATATTATGCAAAATTGACCCTTTTAGCCATGTTCGAAAGATGTTACCTTATCAAAAACATATGTTGATTTGTCTTATGTTTCATTCACACATTAGTAATCCTTTATTATTTATTTATTTATTTATTTATTTTGCACATATATAACATAACAATAAAAAAAACACACTAGATAAAAAAGTTGGTGCCAGAGGAGGCAAAAAACCCAAAAGGGCTTATATTAAAGCCTCCACCTTATGAATACATAAAAAATTTAACATAATCTGTCCACATCTCCAAATGTTCTGTTCCAACTTGTGATGTTCTGAAGCTTAGTTTAAGTAAACAGCCACCTTTTAAATTAGTTCAGCAGAGACTGGTAATTCCAGGTCTTAATTTATCCAAATGATTCTACTGAAGGTGTACAGAGTTTAAAAACACAGTGGAGCACTTTCTGTATTATTAACATCACACAATGGAGTGTTTTCTGTTTGAGGGAAGAACACAGCCTAAATATGCAGGATTTGTGTGTTAAGCATGTGTGAATGAAACAAAACACAACTCCAGGTAAGTTTTCGATGAAGAAAATAGCGCAACATGGATCCTTTAAATTGAAATTCATGAGTTAAATACCTTATCTAGTCTCCTTTAGAAGTGGTGTTTGAATATGCATTGATTTATACATTACACATCCTTACAGATCTATCTATCCTCACTTACCTTCCATGTGATTATGAGTTCCCCATTGGTCCCTCCACCTCCTGTGACATTTGAGGGTGCCACCACAGGAACTGAAAGAGACAGAGGGGAACATGGTCAAAACACACTGATGATGCCAAACCCACATTCTCTTTGCCCAACTCCTGCCTGGCACCGAGGCACTTTTCCTCATCACACACAATATCAGTATCCTACAGCGAGCCAAGTCCAACACCTCCATCTCTCTGCTTCTGCCCTGTCACCAGTGGAAATTTTAAAGTGATTCGTGTTTTCTTAAACTCACTATCACTTTCTAATTATTATCCGTTATTGTAAATCTGTTATTCTGATATGCGAATTTTAGTATTAGCTTTCATATAAGTGTGTGTTTAGAGCAGGATTATGTGGTTAGTTTGGCAGTGTCCTGGCTTGGTTGAAATGACAGCGGTCAGCGAGATCATGGTTTCTGGTTTTGTACTTTTCAGCGGAAATACAAAAGTTTAAATGCATCACCACGCATCAAACACAAACTCAAATGACCTTTTCCAATGGTGAAATGTATCCATGTTTGATTTTTAGGTTACATGTACTTTTTTATATATATATAAACAAATCTTTAAAGGTGCACTATGTAACTTTTTGGTTGGGGGTCTGTCACCTGCTTGTTTATGGGTATGGATATGTCATTGATCTGCCTGGAATGTTACACAGTATGACATTAAACAGCTCTACTTTATATTTATTCAATTACAGCTGGTTTTATTGCTCAAAAATACCAGTATCTTGCCTGGTTTGGTCTCCGTGAAGATAGAAATGTTTAATGCCATACTGTGAAATTTTCCAGACAAAGCAATAACATCTCCACGGCGAAAAGCATTTGATAAATCCACTAGAAAAGTTACACAATGCACCTTTAACATTTGTTATTTGGCATATACAGACTATAAAACATGGACCAAAAGTAGCTGCATTATTAAATAGAAATGTGATTGAACAAAAATAATAAACTCTTTGTGATTTAACACTTTTATCTTTGTCTGGTTGAAATATATATATACAAAAGAAGTTATTTCTCAATTTGTGACTCATTAAAAAAAAAAAAAAAGGTGCCTAATCCACTACTAAAATAATCCTTAGGTGCGGCTTGAGTTTACCTTTTCTAAACTTTCTTGACACTTAAAATGTTTATTCAGGTCACAGAGACATTTATAAGTTTGTGGTTGCAGAATTGTGATTGCTATGGGGAGCCTTTCTTGGTTACAGACTTTGACAGATTTCTTACACGACTCTGACGTCTTGTCTCTGGGCGAGGGGCTGCTGGGTTCTCCTGTTCCCAGAGTGTTAGTGGCGATGACTCTGAACTCATAGTCTGTCCACGGAAACAGATCCACCACTGAGGCCGACTCGGAATTCCCCTCCACAATCGCAGGAGCTAAAGACACAATGTCACATTTTATATTTGCGATTACTATCACGAGATTTTATTTGTGTACTCTTTAACATGCTGTCAGTTACATCCATCCAGTTCAATATCTTATCTTTAAATATTTGTTCATTTTAGCAAGATTTTGCAATAAACCCACAGATGCACAATTGGACAGGAAGTAGTGACGCTACTTGCAGTGCACAGAGCTATTCTACTTTTCCAAACACATTTTTAAATCTATACTTGAGCATAATTCTGAACATGTAACTCCTAATATTCTCATTGTACAATTGTCTCAGTGCTGTACCCACTTCTTTCTGTGCAAACACTCACATCACTGCATTGCCTGCTCTGATAGGCCAGAGCTCTGAGAATATGTGAATTTAAAACAACCTACTAAAACCTTAACCTAAAACCTTAGTACTATTAACTACTACATTTTATGCATACTTACTTACTACATACTGCATGCAATTTTGGTAGCGGTATTAGTAACAGGGTTCCCATTCTTTTTCACTGACAAAATTTAAAAACTTTTCCATGACTTTTTCAATGACCCAAAGTGAATTTTCCATGACCTTACAGCACTGTGTAGAATTTATCATACTTTTAGGGCTAAATATGAAATGTTAAGCCTTTCCACTCACCTTATGGTATTATAGTTTTTTAACATTCAAAATACTGTCAATGCATTTAGTGTCGGCTCTTTTAAACAAAAGGTGCATACATTTGGAAATAAGAAGGCTGTAGTTGCATGAAAGAGACACTACAGTTCCATAACTTTTCCAAAACGTTCATTGAATTTACAAAATTCCATGACTTTTTCAGGCCTGCAAAATGACATTTTCAATTTCCATAACTTTTCCAGGATTCCATGACTGTGGGAACTCTGTAGTAATTATAACTGAGTCTACTTTTAGCCATGCAACAATATTTTTGCCTAAGTACACGTTTTGAGTACTCTTTCCACCCTTGTTATTAACACACAAATAAAAACATTCTTACATGTGGAGGCGTTCTTCCAGTCTTTGGAATACGGGTCCTTGTACTGTATGGTGTATCTGGATATAGGACTGTGATTGTCTGCTCCTTTGCTCCACTGCAGAGTCACACTTTTCTCTGTTTTGTTCACCACTCGCACTCCTCCAGGGGCTCCCGGGGCACCTGTGAATGGGCAGGTGTGACATGTGAGTTTAAATTGGTGCTGCAAAAGTCAGTAAAAACAACAACAGACCAAACTGGACAAAGTTACAGCTCAGATCTGTGGAGAGGCAACTCAGCTCACAGCCAGAATGACTGTTTTTCTAGGTATTTTTGAGCATTAAAAGCACCTGTAATTTAATAAATGTAAGGTAGAGCTGTTTAATGTCATACTGTGGAACATTCTAGGAGCAATGACACATCCATAGAAAGAAGTAGGTGATGGACCCTCCACCAGAAAGGTTACACAATACACCTTTAAGAAGTACCAAAAGCATAAAAGTTACATTCTTCATCTCTTGAAATTTCAGTGTCCTGAAGTTTCGATTTTTTTTTTCATCCATTCCTCTGTGTCAACCATAGAATATCAAACTGTTACACAAATAAAACATAATAGGTAAGCTATAACATTCATACTTTGTTAAATCCATCATTCTGGGAAGAATCAAGATCAACTTGTACTCAAAACCCACAAATAAAAATACATGTTTTTTTTTTAAACTGTAATGACCTTTTATAAGCATTCTTTCTAGACTTTTTTTTTTATAACCCTGCATCTGATTTTTTGTGATATTTACCCAGAAATCTAGACGGTATTTCAAATCTGGTTTTCCTCTGTGAATAGCTGGTTAAGACTTATAATTAGAGTAGACAACAGAGGCCAAACCTACAGAGTCTCATCTTCACAGAGAGTTCAGCCATTTCTTAGTACTCCAAAGGGTTCAGAAAGAGCTTCACTTTTAATTGGGGGAAATTTCAGTCAGCCATTTTGTATTTGAAAACCTAAATTACAGCACAGCCATACTAATACCATTTCAGTTCAGTGTTTTCCTTTTGATTCTTCTGTTACCTCATAAAAAAACGCCTAATAGAAAAAACAGACTTCAACTCGCTGTCTCAGAAATCAGAGTGGATTGACTTTTTCCAAGAGCCTAGACGACTGAGATGATTATACAGGCAAGGCAGGCCGTTACTAAAGCTTGTCCTCAACATGAGAGAGGAAAGAACTGGTAAAAAAAAGAGCAAGAGACAGATATTTCATCCCCACTGACATGACAAATCCACACTCACTTTTTTAAACACTGAGATTTCATCACTATTTTCAAGTAATAAAAGTCTATCCATTTAACTTCTCTTCGATGGTTGCCACAACAAAACTCCCATGTTTAACAATTGATGACCTCATTAACTACTAGTGGTGGACAATACTGACAAAAATGAATGATCTCAATATTGTTTCTGGCTTATCCCATAGCCAGCTTTTCATTATGGCAGAACTTTGAAACTGTCCTAAAATGTGCCTGGAAATGTCTTGGTCGAGATTCAAGAATGTGCAGAAATATCATCTTATATGATAGTTTGGAAGCACAACATCGCAAGATTTTCATGCAATCATGTACCAATTTATAATAAGTATGCCTTAAAGACACAGTATGTAACTTTCTGGAGGTGGCGTGTCACTTGCATGATTCCATTACAAATAGAAAGTTAAAACCATACTTAATATTACATGTACATACACAATATTCTTCATGGAGATAGATATGTTTATACCATTATGTGGAAGACTATAGCCAAAGCCACATTTCCATGGAAACAAGTAGAAAGAGACCCTCCTCCAGGCCAAATAAGAAATAAGAAACCAAATTAAGTCAGGTTTGTGGAGATCCAAACCCAAGCCAAAAACAAAAAAATAAACAAACAAAAAAAGCCTTTATTTTAGTCTATTTTGGGGTTAACATACTGTGGCTTTGATTAGCCTTTGTTACCAACCCTTTTTTAATTGATATTCATATTTTAATAAGAGACAACATATTTTTAAATGCTAATTTTGCACAGCTCCAAAACAACAACGGCAAAATTAGTCAATATATTTTTGAGAAATTTCCCACCTCTACACATATTGCGAGATTTCTGATACCATTAGACTATTGCAGTAAAGATACAGGTGTCATCGCCAATGCAGTCATCTGAATTACATTTTCTTCCTGTTTTTCAGTGTTAAATACCTGTCTCTCATCTCTCAAGTACTTCTGCCTTGAGGTTGTCCATTAGCAGGAAGTACGTTTGTCTGCCACTTAAGGATACGCCCCATAGGCTGTAATGCTATCTATCAACAAGTGCTTTGAGACCAGAATTGTGGAGGCAGGGCATCCAGGCCACAGCAGGGGTCAGTGCAGGCACATCCAGAGAGCGTCTTGAGTTCCTGTGTGAAGAGGGCCTTTGTGTGCTGATAACAGTGCACAGGATTCACCAGTATAGGGGAATACTGTAAGGCAAACTCGCTCATCGGGAAGTACAGTAAATCATCCAAGTGTTGAAATACAGTCATTGACACAGAGCTCACTGCGGAAGTGTGGAGATGTGGGTTTTTAGAGCACGTCAAGTAAGTACTCTAAACTAACGGACAAATACAGGTAATATACAGGGGAGGAAGATGAGTATACTGTTGTTCATGGTTGGTTTGTACTTCAAAATGGTAAAGTGGGAAATGCTTATGACGCTATATGAGTTGGCGTCATTGGTGTCCCTCTTAGTGGAGTGTGTTAGGCACTTGACTTAATTGCTCATAATAACTGAAGGTGAGTGTGCATATGTGTACACTGGTGCTGCATCGGCCCCTTGACTCATAATTATGTAGTGCACATTCCACCACACAGCCCCATTGTCTAGAAATCTATCCAGCCACCTGCAACCAAAAAACATTTTCTATTTACGGGAATATTATAGCCAGTCTTGTCTGGAATGTTTTTGTTTATGGCATTAAACCTTTCTATCATCATGGAGACCAAATCAGGCTGTTACATGTAAAGCTGTTTAATGCCATGCTGTGGAACATTCCAACTAGAGCAATGACATATCCACAGAAACAAGAAGATGACGGAACCCCATCCAAAAAGCTATATAGTGCACCTTTTTACATTTAAGGAATAAGACTTAGTAATTTTCACTATAATTAGTTTTGTATGGGCGGATTCTTTTGCTTGGCGATAAGATTTACATTTCGCACATGAAATGCAATGAAATCAAATGACTGCACTTACTTCACTTATCTCACAATCTCTTTGAACACACAGCTGCTACAAAGCAAATTTGAATGAGTTGCCTGGGTACATATTTAGATATGGAAATCTCATTTACAGATAAAGACGATGCCAAATCAAATTTAACACATTGGAAATACAATACAAAACAACAGCTGTTTGTGCTTAAGGCACAAGTCTAAGTCCTTCAGCCAGTACAAAGGCATGTGCTGTGACTAAACAGTGAACGCCTGACTTAAAATCACATATAGATCAGTCTAAATGCTGTAAAATGACAGATCTATATGTAAAAAATAAAATAAAATTTAAATTAAATTAAGTTTAAATAAAATAAAATTTAAAAATGTAATAAAATGACTGATCTATATGTGGGGAAAAAAGTGCACTTTATGAACTGCACTGATACTGACAATAAATGACAATACACTTTTGAATTTAAATCCGTACTGATTGTTTTGACATGTGTCTCACCTCGCACAAGCAGGTGGGCAGAGGCAGTCACATTGTCCACAGGAGTCTGAGCAGTGCAGCTATAGTTCCCAGCATGCTTCAGCTGAACGTTTCTGATGAGGAGCTCTCCATTAGAGCTGCCATTCTGTGGAAACAACACACAATATATTTTCATTTGTACATGTGTTTGTGAAAATGATTGGCATTGGCATTGTTTTAGATTTAGATTGATGGAACAGAGAAAGATATTGAAAGAGAGGGAGAAGTAAAGTCTGATTAAAATAATATATACTTTGATGATCACTGATTTCTCACTTTGGTGTTAAACTAGAAGCAGTTGACCATATCTCTCTTAAAGGTTTTATATTACACAAAATAGATTTTTGTGAGCTTTAAGCCTTGTTGTAATGTTACTACCTATTCAAAACACAAAATACCTGGTATTATGTTTTGTTTCATTCACACATTTGAGTGACACTGCATTATTAGTCTGTCTACATTTCCAAAGCACAAAATGCTCTGTTGCAAATTTTCAAGTTAAGAGCTACTTTTTACCTTTCGTTCACTAAAGATTGGTGGTTCCAGGGCTGAAATTATTCAAATGATTTAAATGAATATGAGTGGAGTTTAAAATCTCAGTGGTGCACATCCTGTATTACCACATGACATCACAAAGTGGTCTATTTGAGAGACTAAATATGCAGGGTTTGTGAGTTAAGCATGTGAGAAGGAAACAAAGCACAACTCTAGGTACGTTTTTGATGAGGAAATAACATTATAGCATACAGTAGATTTAGTGTAACATGGGCCCTTGTCAAATATTTCATAGGTTTGTGGGAGGACATTGACGACATCTGTTGCTGTTATATTATTGTTCTCAGTCAAACCACAAACAGTTCGAAGTAAGGTTACGCTGACTCGAGTGAAGAGTTATGTTTTGCTTGCCCCACGGAATCTGAATTAGGAGGAAATTGGCCCTGTTTTATAAGCGGAAAAATTATTGTCCCATGATCGAAAATAGTACGCCATTAATCACAGTCATAATGTGATGTTTGGCCAATGAGCCGATTGATAAACGAGAACCGCTAACCAGAGCGTAGTCCGGCCAGAGAAGAGAGGAGCAGAGCAGGTCATGTCAACAGTAATGGATGTGAGCACAGGCTGCTATTAAAGGATATAGTACAAGTGAGTGGGAACAGATATAGCTTTTAGAAATACATTAACGTCAATGTTACACACTTTATCACATTATTGGACTATGTAAAACTTTAATCTAGGGGCCAAAAACAGCTAAGAGTTTTTTGTTTTTTTTTACAATTTTAAGCAAGGTTTGATCACATTTATAAGGTAATTATCTTGAGAACGTGGCTATGTTTAGATGTGTTCCAAAGATCAGATCATCACTGATTTCTGAAAGTATCAAAATGTTGAAATGTCATGTAAGCATTCACTGTCCATCTGATGGGAGTATTATGATTTATTCATGACACATTTATGTTCACACCAGTCTGCTCTCTCATGTTATAAAATAGTGGATAAAAATGAGCAGAATAGTGATTCCTGTTTGGTCTCACCAGGGGGCGCTCATAATGCAGGCTGTCCCTGTGGAGGTCGATCACCTTCCCCTCCAGAGCCCAGATGAAGGTGATGTCCAGGGAGGGGTCATGTGAAGCAGCACATCGCATGTAGGCATCTTTTCCCACATTTACATCAGTGGTAGCTGGAGCCAGCGTAATCTTTGTGGCATCTGAGCACATAACATACAAGGAAATAAATCATGGGACAAATGTAAGGGTTTGGCTGGCTAAAGTTTGTCCTGTTACAGGGACATATATTCACAGTAATCAGTCAGGTCCAGTAGAGGGCAGAAAAGAGCTGTACTGAAAATGTGTGGGTCCAGTCAAATGAATGGGTGGAGATGTTCAAGATTGTGGTTTTGTCATTGAGCTGTTCCTAGTTTCCAGTGTTTGAATGATATTTGGGGACCCAGTATTATCTAAAATCATGGTATGACCACAAACACATATTTAATATAAAATATTTGATAAAAGAAAAACAATTAACCCAAGTAACTATTGAATGTATTATTTTGTATTATAATTAACTAATTAAAAAGAGCTGGAAACACAGAAAGATAAAACCCATTTGAAATAGAACAAACAACACTGTGTTGTCCAATCATTGGACAAAAACACATAACTGGCATCAGACACTGCACAGATAAATATATATATTAAGATGCTGAGATTTAGAAGTAGACTTGAGCTCACATTCACTAATGATCTGTGAAGCTTCTTTGGTGTCTGTAGCTGCAGTAAATCAGCTCTGTGCCTAATGACTGCAAACTATTGATGAAACATTATTTTAAATCTATGAATTATTCATCCAAGTTAAACTGGACTGCTCCCACAAAGCTCTACCTTTGTATCCAAAAAAATATCTTTATATTATATATATGTCTTCTTTATGTGTTTAAGTTTTCTTAATGTTTGTATTTTTATTTATACAAAGTTGTTATCAGATGTAGTTAATATGAGGGATAAATGACAGCTACATAACACATCTGATATTGGTATAGATATTGGGTATTGGCAGCCATACAGTAGATTGAAATTTTATCAAAACTGAAAAAGCTAGATCAGTGCATCCCTAAATATATATATATATAAACTCTGTTTTCTTCCATTTTGACCAACAGCTTCTTGAATATCCTACAGCACCCTGGAGGGTTATGTTTTAATATAGAAATAGCTTTACAAACACTTGTGGTCTGGAAGAATTTCTTGACTGACAGCACCAAAGGGATACTGCAAAGTGCACCATTGTTTTATTATTGAACATTTTGTATTTTTTGTTAAACTTACCTGTAACCAGGAGGGAACCGGTGCTATTGGCTTTGCCTCGGTCATTTTCAGCAAAGCAGGTGTATCTCCCCTCATCTGCCCGTGTGACGTTGAGTATTTCCAGGCTCCCGTCTTCCCATATGAAAACCCTGCAGAAAAATGAACTCTTCACACACTGAACTGCAGATCCAAAAGATATCAAATATTAAGCAGTGAGTGAGGGTCAAAAGTGCAGCCTTTGTAATTCACTGGATATGAGCATGATGAAAGAAATCTGTGAAACTTGCTGCTCCTCAGTGCTGGATAACAATGTAAAACTGTTAGTCAAGGATTTGACTGTATGTGTGTAGGTGGAGAATATTTTCTAAGGCACGTGATAATATTTTGCAAGAAAATTAAAGTACTTCTACTAGATTTATGTACACAGAACTGTAACTTGTGTAAAAATGATAAAAGCTTTAGGCTGATAATATGATTTGAACATTTGTGTTTCTCATGCCATTTTCCCACATTTTTTCAGGTCTAACATTTGAAAATACTTGCATCATCATCATCAGTATAAATCAGATTTTACTTAAACTGTCTGTGTAACATCTGATTTATCTATATGATCTGTTACTCCTACAGTTATTCTTACAAGTACTCTAACTGGAGTGGGAGTTTTCCTTAAAATGAATTAATTAAGTACACACTAAGCACACTTTTGCAAAACATGTAGTAATGTCAGTATTGGTTGTTTAGTGTTTTAATGATAATTTGAGTAGGCCTATAATATATTACACTGTACTACTACTAGATAACAATTCTTCGTAAAAGTAGTAGGAGCAGAAATATCTAAAATTGATATTTGAAAAAATAGTACTAGTGTCCATTTATTTGCTTTTATAGATGTTTTATATAAATAAGGTCAGTAACTACTCTTCAGTTTATCATTACATTTTTTTGCTTTCTAAGAGTAAATATATGTGAACTCCAGTACTCAGCAAGATCTTACACTACACTAAACTGAACAAAAACACGTTCAATTCAATTTCCTTGCATAATCTAAATTCACTGACTGACAAATATACAGTAGCTCTACTTCGCCCATCACCTCTTCCTCCACATTCAAAGATCCCCCCAGTGTCTGGCTGTGGTGACAGTGGGGGGAGAGGGCGAGCCATGCTGGGGATCCCAGAGATTAGTCTTGTTTTGTCAGCAAGGAGCACAAGGAGGTAGGAGTTCTTTATTGGATAAGATTAAAGTTGGGTCTAATGTTAACCATGAGGGCATGGAATGAAGATCTTAAAACAGCAAAAACACTGATGGCATATGGAGGGGATTATCAGGGTGAAAACGTAATCTAATCCCACCAAATCTCAAATAAGTGAGAAGATTTTGGAGAAACAGATCCACAGACACAGATATCCTTTAAGATACTTAAATTGTTTTCATTGCAATAAAGCATCTTAATGGATTGCAGTCATCAATCACACCGCTCCTATAACCCTGGTAAACCCATGGCTTAAACTTGACTGACCCGACCTTGATTCCTGTTAAAGGCCTGTTAAGGTGAGGCATACATCTCCATAAATCCTACAGATTTATACAGAGACATGGTGACTCCTCACCTGGTGGAGTTGTAAAGCAGCTCCGTATCTTTGCTCCAGGAGATGGCGGGCTCGGGGGCAGCTCTAGGTCGACACTCAATCACCACACGCCCATTCCGCGCAGCCAGCGCCCTCCTCACAGGGCTGTGCTCAAATGTGGGTGCACAGGCTAAGAAAGCATTATGTTAGGAAACAGGAGAGAAACATGCTCTTTCCACATATGAATACATTACAGATACAATAGCATTTGCTGATTATATTCTACTGACAACATTTGTTTTACATTGTCATAAATGTGAATCATTATGCATTTTATGCATTATATTCACAATTTGATCAAGACAATATCCATTATACTGCATGCCATGAACATTCTGGTGCTGAGTGCAGTTATTTTAAAGGTGCACTATGTAACTTTTTACATATATAGTCCAGATTAAAGACTACACTGATAGGTTATTGTTTTGCTTAGTATGTTCCACACTATGGCTTTAAACCAATGAATCTCCATGGAAACATGCATACGGAAGCCAACAAGACAAGTTACAATATTCGATTTGAGAAGAAGTGATCCACTCAGAGTTAACATGCATATACTGTATTACAGGCAAAAAACATCTATATTTAAATAAATAATTGTTAGATAGATATGATTAATGCCATACTCTGGAACATCCAAGCATAACAATAACATCTCCCTGGAAACAGACAGGTGGCAGACTTGCTTTCAGGAAAAAATTACATAGTGCACCTTTAATTTATTTTTGTGAATATGTCAAGTGTACTACTTAAAGTTTTCATCTTCAAAAGAAGCAACTGCACTACAATTGAGATTGGTGAAGGTAACACACTGAGACAGCAGACAGACAGAAGCACTACTTTTTCACAAAATGTTGTTGTTATTATAACACTTGGTCAAACCTGGCTCCATATATCTCTTGTGACACTGGAATTGTGACTCACCAAACACACGCAGCTCTGCATTAGCATAGATGACCCCATGGCGGTTCTCAGCCACACACTGGTACATCCCCCCATCTTCAAGCGTTAGCTCACTAAACATCATGTCACTCCTCAGAAACTGTAGACACAAGAACATCACCTGGGATTACAACTCCACCAATTAGAAGATCTGACATCTACCGAAATGAACGCGACAATTAGTGAGTCTGGGAGACGATATGCTAAATGTATAATGATGTATTTAGCATAAGTCAAACAGAGCAGGAGTCTATTGTCATTATAGCTACTCTCTTGGGCATTCCTTGTTACTATAGGAAGCTGCACAATGGCTGGCTCCCACTCAATAACAACAGGTACTATTTCCTGACACAGTACTCACAGTGCCAGCATCCTGTCAGCAGTGTAGCACAACAGTATATAAAGCTGCTGATGGCTGCCTAATTCTGTACCGCAGTAGCAAGAACATGACAATAGAGATTTATGGATTGGGAAAAATTACCGGTTGTCCGTTTTTGAGCCATCGGATGTGGGGTGTGGGTGTGCCGCTGGCTACACAAGACATGGAGTGTTCGCTGCCAAGGCCTTTTTCTGTGCTGTTGATGTGCTCCACCCACTGAGGGACAGCTGAGGCAAAAACAGTGTGATATCAGAGTAAATACATCTTGTTATTTTTCACAAATCAATAAAGATATCCAAAGTACTAATGAGAATCAGTAACTTAGATATAAGATCAAGTATAAAATTATAACCTCCTGTCAAACATTATGAGTATTGTTATACTTATAATGTTTGACAGCCTGCCTCCCCTCACTATCTCAAACTCATGTTTTCACAGTATCTAAGTTACATTTATTCATAGAATGTTGTTCACAGAGATAAGAGCAAAAGTTGCTTTACAGATTAAACATATTCTTATTAATAACAAGATAAAATGCTAAAACATTATAAAAAACAAGAACACCAACATTTACAAAAAACAAATACAAACACAGATGGCAAATAAAATAGGTCAGCGAGGAAAGGCAAGTCTGTACAGGTGAGTATTTAAGCCCACCTTGCTGTTCTAAGATCAAGGGGAGTACATTCCAAAATTTAGTTGGAATGTTCGGTCACCCCTTGTTTTGAACTTAGTCTGTGAAACATTTAATAGCTGCTGGTCAGCAGACCTGAGACTATGACCCAGCATATGCCCATGGAGAAAGTCAGACAGGTAACTTGGGGCCTGCCCATGGAGAGCTTTTGAACTGATCCTGTACTGAACAGCCTTATTACAGACAATATGGTTAATTTACGAAAGGGTTTATTGGCATTATCCTGCTTTAGATGCATCCTGTCAGGATTATAAAGTGGCATTGAATCTTATTGTAATATTTTCTGAATCAATATATGACACTTCAAAATGTATTAGTATGACTGACCTACTTTTTATGCATTAACATAATGTTCATCCACTGTTGCCATGACAAAGAAATGCTGCTTCACCTTTTCATGTGTGTCAGAATGATGAAAAATAAGGACCATTACCAAAGCAGTTAAAAATGTAAAACTAAATATTAGGTTTGTAGACCTTCATCCATTTCGGTTAATGTTGTCTTTTATTTAGATTATAAGGATTTACATGGCAGCAGAAAGGAGAAGTTAGTTAGTGTGTTATCTTAAGATTTTGGAGTTTATTTTTTGGTATTCATTTGTTAAAAGGCAGTTTAAATTTTATTTAATTTTTAAGTTTATTCTATCATTATATGAACACATGTGCAGTTGTAGTGTTGTGAGTGCAGTTTGGGTCAGACACAGAGATAATAGTTTTGACGACTACAGCAACAACAAAATGTTATACCTTTTGAATGGTAAAAGGTCCTCAGATTGTCACCTTTAAGGAAGCTGAAAGCTCAAATTATAAACTGTGTTTTGTTACCTTCGACAGAGAGCATGGCAGAATGGTAGTCCTTCCCTTTGGAGTTTAAAGCCTCACACTCGTATGTGCCAGCATCCTCGATCTGTATGTTATTGAGGTGCAAGTGAGCCCCTGCCATGCGCACCTCGTGACTGGCCGGCAGGGGTCCATCTAACTTCTTCCAACGGATTTCAGGGACAGGGCTGTGAAGGACAGTGGGAAAGATGAGAAGAGGAGGAAGAGAGAGATGAGTTATATGCAAAAAAAAAAAAAGTATTCAAGAAAGACTTAACAAGCATGCAACATTTTGGAAATATAATTGGACAGTTGTTTTAAAATTGTAGTACAGCTTGTCGTAGTGGTATTCAGGAAATTAGTTCCAGCTCAGTCATTTTAACATGTTTTTTAATCAATGCATGTTTAGTGTTAGTCTCATTCTGCTTAGTACATTCAGCCCATTACAAAGATGGTATTTATTTTATGTGTAGCATATTTTATTCATAATTAATATATCATCATATATTTTTGAAAAAGGAGCTATGCTATTTCATTTAAAAAGAGTAGGCCTGTCATGATAATTATATTGCCTTATCGTTCAATATATGAAACCTGGAATTGTATTTTCTGGGGTCAGTAATTATAGTGTGTATTTTCTTTGCACTACTGGGAGGTTTTTGGTTACTTTTTGGGCATTTTACACAATTTGAGCAAGGCCAGGTTGAATTAATAACTTGTATGACTCATTACAGATGCAAACAAAGAACTTAAGTGTTTCATTCTGTTCTTTATTGTTTAGCTCATGATTCTTTAAAAGTATTGTAGATTTATAATAGTTTTTGTGGTTTAAATCTGCTCTGGGGTTATTGCATCAGTAGCATAAATTAGTTGCAATATTATTGTTCATTGTCTATATTTACTTCAGCAATATATCAAACTTCAAAATGTGTTATTGTGACAGACCTACATAAGAGGCTAATTATTTAGTATGGGGTTGAGCTGAAAGTCAGTCAAACTCACTTCCCCAAAGCAAAGCATTCCAAGGTGATATTTTGTCCCACCATCGCTGTGGTGTCTGGAAATTTGACTTTGAGATCAGCTGGATATTTTCTGACAGAACCTGCAACAAAACCAGACTATTATCATTTAAACCAGCATGTATAACTGATGAAATAACTGCATTATTTTTAAAGGTCAGAAAAGTGAGTGAAAAGCAGGAGATGGGCTACTAACGCTCAACTATGGGCACCAGGGGAATATAGTTGGAGAAGACGCTCTTTGAAATGGACGGGCTTGTAGCTATACAGGAGTAGTTGCCGCTGTCTAACTCTTCCACTTTGGAGATGTAAAGGTTGCCTGTTATCTGGGAGACAAAACGCCTCTTGTCCATTGGGATGAAGGTGGGGAACTCATTGAGGATCCATCGGAATGACAGCTCGGCTAAAGAGAATATAAGACAGAGACACAGAGAGAAAGAGAGACACACACAGAGAGAGAGAGAGACAGAGAGAGAGGGGAAACAAATAAAACAAAAGCTGTCCATCAAAAAGCTCAGAGAGATACAGTGCATGGGGTGACATAGTCTGAACAATGCAAAACCAAAATAGCACAATTACTGTGAGCTATGCGGGCGTTGTTATTCAAGCATCTATTGACCTTTTACATTGGCGATTTCTGCCTGTGAGGTATTAATAATGTTTGATTGGCCGATTCGCTTTGGATGTTAATATTATAATACATTAAATTCATTGTGCAAGTTAAAGCCATAATACGTAAGTTAAAAACATGTTTGGATGTTTTTTATTGCACTAAAAAACATGCGTCCTTACTCTTACTCTTAAACTGACTCTTATTTGGCTATAATCTTCTTAAGTATGTCATGAAACCTGTCTATTTCCATGGCGAATGTTCTGAAGTATGGGTTTAGCTTTCCGTTTCCATAGACTCATGGTGGTGATGTTCCACCCCCAGAAAGTTACATAGTGTATCTTGAAGTGTTTGGATTTCTGGTTTGTATAAATATAACCACACAGAACAGATGATGTAGGCCTAGGATAATGTTAAATAAGACATTAGGGTTACAATATATATCGCAATCAAATCAAAAATGTTCAGATGGCAATGACTGTAATAATTAAAGCAACATAGTTTCCTCTGCATAGAACAAAAGGATCTGAAAAGTTGTTAAACAGTTAATATTTCAGTTGTCTCTCAAATGTTAATGCTCCTAGACATCTTTTTAAAATGTGAACTTGACCAGAGTTCTACTATTAAAACTTAAATTGCAAATTAAACGCAAAATGATATCTTGTGAAAATGGTTCAGCCCTATTACACATTTTGGAAAACATCATTACTCAATTACGAGCAGCAATACTCCTTTCCATTATATTCTCTATAAAACAGCCCATATAAATCCTGCCTAAATGATAGGAATGTGATAGTCAAGTCATTACTCCTATACCTCTGAGAACACATGAAGGACGACTCTGAGACAACAGGGGATATGGCTTTGGCTCATTTCATTATTAGTCTAAATGAGATCAGAGAAGCCCCACTGCAGACTGCATGTGTGCTAAAGAGGTTAGCGCTCTGAGCTATGATAACTATTGCTTTTGACAAAAGAGAGGCTAAGATCTGTCACAGTGAACACTCAGATCCCTTTTACACGTGTTGTAGTATAGAGATGTCGGGATCATTTGATTTATGGTTATTTAGGGAACAGATGGGAAGTATTCAGTTACATTTACTTTACTGAACAATTTGTACTTTTCTGAAGAGTTTTCAGACACCATAGTTTATTTTCTGGCAATATAACTTGCAGTGTAACAGTACACTTACTTGAGTAAAGATTTTAGTTACTCTGCCCACAATGAGTAGAATTGATAAAATCTTCAATTACAACATTGTGTTTCTTGCACCGAGCCTTCAGAAATGTGATTTGGAATAGGGCTCTAAAAGATTATGTCAATCAAAGTAAATTATTGAGTTGAATTTGAATTACTATATCGATTAATCATTCAGTATATAAAAGCTGGAATGATATATTTGGGGGACAATATTTATTGTGTGTACATTTTCTTTTTAATAGTGGGGAGATTTTTTGACATTTTTATGTAATAATTTAAGATTTGAGCTTTAGATGGTAGAATAAATACTTATTTGCCTACTTATTGGTTTATTCTGCAATTTATTTGTTGCAGTTCAAGTCTTTTAATGATATGGTATATTCAAAAAGTAATTTACTGGGATTATCTTTGTGTCAGCGGCATAAAGCAGTATTATCCATTATCACAATATTTCTCTTTAGCAATAAATCGTGCATCAAAATTTGTTATTGTGACCCAGTGGATTTGAAGGATGGGTCAAATGCAGAAGACAAATTTCTCTATGGGGAACCTTACCTTGCCTCATCTTAAAGGTGCACCATGTAACTTTTTGGTTTGGGGTCCATCATCTGTTTGTTTTGATGAATATGTCACTGCTCTGCTTGGAATGTTCCACAGTACGACATGAAACTGCTATACCTAACACGTACTCTATTACAGGGGTTTCTATTGCTCAAAAATACCTAGAAAAACACCTAGTACTTCCCAAAATGCTTTATAGTTAGGGCGGCCATCTTGACAACAATTACCCCCCCGCCTTGACTACGTCCCTCAGAACCATGTGAATCCTCGCAAAACTATGATGATCGCACCTCCCCCTCCCTGGTCACCACCTTGAGTAACTCATTTTCTGCGAGAAACACTGATATCTGCTCTGTAATTTGGTTTGGTTTAGTCTGCATGGAGATAAAAAGGTTTAATTCCACACTGCAATAACATCTCCACGAAGAAAAGCACCAGAAAGGTTACACAATGCACATTTAAGTATTGCATTATTGTTTGGTCACAGAGTCAGTAATTGTGATTAATTGTACAACTGTGATGTTTCCTTTCATAATAATCATAACACAAAAATTTGATATTTTGTCATTCCTTTACTGTAGCTATCACACACGCTTGTATATGCTGCATCCCTAGGTGATTGAACTATATGTTTTTTAATAGTCAGGTCTCAAAAAAAAAAATTTTAAAAAAGACAGAATCAGTACAAAGCTATTATTGTAAAATCTACCCTCATTTTGCAGTCTGAGGGGGTTGTCTACAATCACGGGGCTGTTCATGACATGTGGTTACCTGGATAATGTGGAGGAGGGGCACACAGCAGCACAGCACCCTGGCCCTCTTTTACATATACAGACTCCCTCTCCTCTGATGAGAAGAAATCCAGATCTGAAAACACAAAACAAAACGCTGTCTGTCAAGAGCGACTTCAAAATGCACCACTGTAAAACTATTAAAGACTCAAATGTAGTGATCTTGATTAAGAATTGTAAACATTTTGGGTCAACAAAAGTGACTCAGTTTGCTATATATCATGGTAATTTTTAATTTGTTCAAAGCCAGGACTTCAACTCAAAACCTTAAGAAAAAGAAAAAAATACATACTTTTTAAGTTAAGTAAAACAAAATGTAGCAGTAGAAATTACAGATACCTGCTCTTGAAAGGCATCATGTGAAAGCAAAAAATATCTCCTGTAAAATGTAATAAGTACTAGTGGAGTAAGTAGAGTAGCTCAAACTAAACTCTGTAACATCATAATTGGTTAAAGTCAAAATTAGTTCATGTTATTTTGGGGGTATTTGAGATCTCCTTTATCACATGAATAAATATCATGAAAAAACTGAGCTCAAAATGGACCTTTGACCCTTATTTGTCAGTTCCTGTACTCTGCCTTTGTATCATGAAAAAATAAAGAGTTGTGCAAAAGCAAAAGGCAGTAAATGTTTATGTTTTATTTGTGATTTAGTTCATAAATTTATTTTATTTTAAAATCCAACCTCCTTTTTGTTATGGCCTTGGCACAGGGTCTTAACACATTAAATAAATATTCCTTTGTATTCAATTATATTTCAGTTATCTTTAATGTGAAAGTATTTGGTGTATTTATTCATACTGTACATACTACTTAACTTGTCTATCAAACTGTTTAATTGTGTTTAAAAGTGTTGCCGCACTATCCTGATCAGCACTAAATAGGAAATCCAAAGGTCTTCTATATCATTTCAAACAAACACCATGATGACTAGACCTTGGTGAGGTGTTTTTCTTATAATGGATGGAAGTCTGGGGAAAATCAAGCAAATAATGATCATGTTACTGCCTTTTGCCTTTGCACGACTCCTTATTTTTGGTTCATGATCCAAAGGCAGAGTACAGGTCAATATTTTTTGCATACAAATCTTTCTTCGTTATAGCAACTAGTTGACAAATTTTGCGAGCCCTGCCTATTATACTTTTGTCTGGACAAAACAGAAGCTTTCAAGTAATTTTTGTCAGTTTCACACTGTGGCGAGTTAAAGTCTTTTGCCTTTGTAGGGCAGTTTTACTTTTGTACTTCATTGCATTCAACTACTTTTTATACTCTACTACCAGTAGCCTCTACGTAGACTTTACAACTAGATACACATGGGCTATACTTACAAAGCTGAGAGTAATGTATTTCAGCATGGATAGAGTACTTTTAATTGACTCCTGTTTCTCGAGCTTTTGCATCACTTCACATTTTAAAATCCCATTAAATTTTTCATGGATTAAAGGTGTAAAGATCAGATACATTTGAATACTTTAATATATTAAAAGAAGAGGGGCTATATTTTATGAGATCATCCCCTGCCCTTTCCTCGCCACTTAAGATTTGTCCTGCTTGTCCTTTCCAATTTCAGCTTACTTAATATGCACACGACTACATATATCTGTCCCTCTCCTCCATTTTATGACCTACACACAGTCCACGTGAGGTCCACTTACATCCAAATTGGACAGAGGCAGAGCGACTGAGCACTGAGCCGTACTTGTTGGATGCAAGACAGGAGTACTGCCCCACATGCTTGTTCTTGTTGGGGGAACTGATGACCAAGTTACCCCCGACTAAACTGAAGTGGCCCCCTTGTTCATTCAAGTTGATTTCCTCTCCGTCAAACATCCACCTGCAAAGATTATGTCAGAATTAGTCAAAATGTCAATATTATTGCTTGAAAAAATAGCAAAAGAACATTGAATAAACAGTTGAAAACAGTATGGGTAATCATGGTATGAAGGTAGATAAAGAGTTAAAGGCCTTACATTTTGCAAAATTGACTCTTGTGAGCTTTAAGTCATGTTATAATGTTATTATCTCCTCAAAAAACATGCCTGGAGTTGTGTTTTGTTTCATTGACACATATTAGAGTAATCCTTTATTACAATTTGTTTATGGTACATCTTAAAGCTCAAAATGCTCTGCTCCACCTTGTAATGTCATGATACTGCAGTTTTCAAGTTAACAGATACATTTTACCTTTGTTCGGAGTGTTCACACCTTAGGTTAGTTCAATGGATTAAATAATATGCATTATAATTAATAGCCCTTCCTGTTACAAAAAATAAATAAATAAATAAAGAAAGAAAAAGCTGGGATGTTATAAATGGACTGTCCGGACATAGGACCTCATTTTCCAGTGAGCCGAGTGTTGGAGACATGTGGAGACACTTTTTTAAAGATCCTGTCCTGATAGGCATAAATGTCCTTGTATTTGCAGAGGTCGCTGGTGCTAGGTTAGTACTTGTCAATGGGCATAGTTAGCCTGCCACTAAATCAGTCTTACCCACTCCACAAAACACCCAAAGCTAAATATTTATAATGCCAGACTATCGACATAAATGTCTGTGTTGATCAAATAATTTTAGAAGTACAACCAACCTTGCATTTGAAGGATTTATGTCTGAGCAGCAGCAGTGATTTGTACTTTCTCATAGAAAGCTTGGTAGCGGCGGACTGATATCACCTAGCGCCTAGCTTACCGACAAAGTAAAATTCTGCTGCTGAGAAAATAGTCCCTCAACATGTGAAGATTCATGCGACGCAAGGTTAGTTTTATTTCAAACATTATTCTATCAACACAGACATTTACATCCACAGTCTGGTGTAATAATTGTTTTGCTTCGGGTGCTTTGTGGAGTGGGTAAGACTGTTTTTAGTGTCAGGCTAACTATGCCCATTGACATGTGCTATCCTAGCCCCAGTGACCTCTGCAAATACAAGCACTGGATGGATTATTTTAAAAAGTGTCTCCACACGTGTCCAACACTCAGGCTCACTAGGAAATGAGGTCCTATGTCAAAATTCTGGACTGTCCCTTTAAGTTTCAGTGTAGTTAGTGCCTCTCTTCAGACAGACATTTAAGCCTGTCCCTTATCAGAGCTGTGACAGAACTGAAAATTTAGATGAATGGTATAATGTACTCATAAAAAAATATATTCATACATAAATAATGGTAATAATTTAAAGGTGTATTGTGTAACTTTTCTCATGGAAGGTCCGTCCAATGCTTTTCTTCATGAAGATGTTATTGTTTTGTCTGGAATGTTTCACAGTATGGTATTAAACCTTTCTATCTTCAACCAAACCAGGTCAAGTTACAGGTCAGATCTGTGGAGAAACAACCCTGTTCAGAGTCAGAAGGCCTATTTTTCTAGGTATTATTGAGCTATAGAACTACCTAATTGAACTGAATAAATGTAAATTAGAGCTGTTCAATGTCATACTGTGGAATATACCAAGCAGAGCAAAGACATATCCAAAAAAACAAGCAGGTGATGGACCCTGAACCAAAAAGTTACATAGTGCACCTTTAAATAATTTTATTTATATTTTTTTTAACTCAGAATTCAGCCATCTTTTGCTATGGATCCTACCTGTATGACTGAGGAATTAAACAGACATCTTGAGAAATTACTTAAAACATTGCTTCATCCACATTTGGACACTTTCAAATTATAATGAATAGATGCTTAAATTAGTAAATGCAAGAATTAGAATAAGGTTAGAGATGGTCAGAGCTAATTTGTGTCCACTCTGACTGACTCTGATGTTTTACTCACTGACAGTAGAAGAAGATGCAGGCTGACATAATTAGCATATATTTGCATGTAAATTGAAATGGGTTGTCCAAAACATTTAAGTAAGATAGCTAAATAAGGCAAAGAGACAAGGTGCAGTTGGACAAATTTGGCCGTTTAGATGAACGTTATATAGCTAAGTTAAAGGTCCTATATTACGCAAAACTGACTCTTGTGAGCTTTGAGCCATGTTATAATGTTACCTCATCAAAAACATACCTGGAGTTGTGTTTGGTTTCATTCACATGTTTCAGTAATCCTTTATCATTAGTCTGTCTACATCTGCAAGCTCAAAATGCTCTGTTCCACCTTGTCATGTCATGAAAAGGTACTTTTCAAGTTAACAGCTACTTTTTACCTTTAGTTCAGATTGTCAACTGCAGGGCTGAAATCATCCAAATCATTTGAAATCACAAGGTGGAACAGAGGGTTTTCTGTTTGAGAGAAGAACTAAATATGCGGGATATGACTGTTAAAAATGTGTGAATGAAACCAAACACAATTCTAGGTACATTTTTGATGTAGAAACATTATAACAGATCAGAAAATAGCATAATATGGGCCCTTTGATTATGACTGCGAAGTTGTTTTTTTTTTTTTTATGTTAACAGAATATACATATATGAACTTTGTTAACTGGATCTTACTATCAATAATTAAACATAGTTCAGAGACACACATAAATCTAATAAGATAAAAAGAAAATAGTACAAAAAGTGCTTTAAATTTATGTTTGCTGTGCCCACTCTTCATAAAGGTGGAATATGTACCTTTTCTGCTGGTCCATCTGATAAGGTTAATGCCATACTGTGGAACATTTTGGGAAAAGTAATAAAATCTTCATAGAGACAAGTAGGGGCCCAACCAACCCATCAGAAAAGTTGTATGCGTCCAGTGATACTGTATACAATTTACATTGTATATCACATCCAAATATTTTTATTACAATTAATTAGTTGTCCTACACTTTTTATCAACCAATGGGATCAGAAAATTGGCACTACAATCAAATAAATTAAATTTCTATATGTTATAATACAATATCTAAAATAAATTTTAGATCAATTCAAACTTTATCGACTCAAAACAATATGCCAAATAGAAACCATCATAATATAATTTTTGCAGTGTCTATATATGAAGTCATCAGAGGCTTGTAGTATTGTAGTAGTTAGTTACTCTTAGTATATTAATAGTAAATTCAAAATTAAAATTCACTATACAGTATTGTCATTGATAATACCTGTAGAAGATAATAACAAAAAGGAAAAATTATGGCAATTTTTCTGAGCTACGTAGCTGTTTGTGCTATTGAACTCTTCATATATAAAGCGGCGCTTGGAGACAGACTGTGTGGGTGTGGACAGGGTCAATGAGGGTGAATGGGGACATATGTTACTTGTATGTGGCAGGTGGGTCAGCTTTGGCACGACAGGTCATGGTGAGTTTGGCTTCAAGCAACTCCTCCGGGTGGATGGTGTCCACCGGCTGCTCCTCAAACACTGGTCCATAACCCGCTGTCTCGTCTGCTGAAGAACACACAAACAAATGAGACAGGATATGAAGACAGAATCAAGGTCAGAATCAGAATGAGGTATTAGAGATGAGCTGTTCGTCTGGCGGTTCTGGGGCAGGTCCATCAAATACACTGACAGCTGGGTTCACTTGTTACATAAGTAGAGAGGAAGAAGATCATCGATGCAACTGTGAGATGTCTCAAAGAAAACAAGTTTATAAGAATGAGTCTTCTGAGTAAAAATTTTGGAAAAGATATGGTTACAAGTTTGTTTTTGTAACATAGTGAAATAGTGGACAGTACTACGTAATGATAGTATAAGTATATGTAGTTTTATTATGGTAATATGTTGTAATTTTTGATACTACAAAAATAGGTTTGATAAGTTATACCAGTTTAGATACAAATTAAAAACACTCTTATAGTTAGATAAAATGTAGTTTTCAACACAAAATAATGTACATTTATTTAAAATTATAATGTGGTCTCATACTAGATCTGATATCGTAGATTGTCTAAAAAAGTGGACTAAGGGAGTGTGACGTCACAATTGGACGTCACCCATAGCGTACAGCACCACACAAGTGAAGATCTTGATTCTACCAGTTATAGAAGTGAATTTTGAGCCCAGTCCCATATTATGAATAGCAATTTATAAACTGACAAAATAGCTAAATAAAAACACCATGGATCATGTAAAGCGGATTAATATGTACATTTTGAGACCAAAATGACAAGGCTCACTGCAGCAGTTACAAAGAGAGGGGTTACCATTTTTATAGGAGCCAGAGTTGATGAAGCCAAAAGCGCCTCCCATGCTCATTTTCTATTTAGATGCGACGGCTGGCGGGTTAGCTATGTCCATTTATTTATACAGTCTGATATACCTAAAGACCATTTTATGGTTTAGGAAAGGTCCAGTTTAGTTATATTAAGTTACCATCTGTTATTTTATTTTTTTACCAGTAGGTCTCCTCTCCCCTCACCAGGCCTTAGTTCAGACTGGTCTCTGCTCTTCTTTTGTCATGTCAAAACTGGCTACACTATCAGACAGCAGTAATGTACACAACACTAGTGGCCATATGTGAGAATACAACTGCGCCGGGTCGATGGTATCTTTAAATACTTTCTATGTTATACTTTACACTTAAAACTTTCACAGAAACAATGTATTCTACTAACGTACAAACCTTGAAATTATAATGAAATAAGAGACATGCCTTTTATTTTAATGCTGACAGATTGTAGCTTTAACTAATGTAATTCCTTCATCCATACATACTAAATACTAAATATCTATTAGGCGCAGTCCTGGCTGTGTAATGAATCCAAATGGCAACATCACAGTAATTAATAGGGGATGTTTTCTATAGTGCAATGGTGAGAATCCTTTTGTCAAAGCAGAATACAAATGTTCATTGATGTAGCATAATATAATGACCTTGTAAATAAATCCTCAGAGAGTGAAAAATCCATCTCTTACACTATCAATGCACACATACAAATTAGCCTCAATTACTCAATAAAAAAACAGAGATGAGGAAAAATCATGAATAAGACATTAAGACAACGCCAGGGTTATGAATAAGCAATGAGCGCCTCCAAATTCTGATTATTCTACGAGATAAAAAAGATCAAAATCTGTCTTTTTGTTTTTTCTTGAGTCCTTGTTATTCCACGTGCTTGTGATGTCCAGATGTCTGCGCAGCTGACGCCTCCAGAGAGAGAAAAGGTGTTTTAGACAGTAATATCCGACCCTATTCAGCACCTATACTCAGGCCTATACTGGTGCTTAGGATTCACTCAAGCTGAAAATGTCATATCGACCAACTGTGCACAACCTTTAAAGGAGTCAGGAGCAAAAAGCTGGAGTAGGCTAACATAAATGATCACTTGTATTAAAACATTCTGTGAGTGAATAATAGTCATAACATTGTAGTATCGACTGATGTGAGAACTCTTTCATAATGCTCTTTCATGATAAAAAGTGAAAAACAGAGCTAGTTCACTTTAAAGGTGCACTGCAGAACATTTCTAGAGGAGAGTCCATCACTTGCTTGTCTCCTTGGATATGGACTATATGGATATTTGACTAGAATGTTCCACAGTATAGATTAAATCTATCTATAATGGGGAGACAAGCAGGTTACAGCACTACGCTACATTACAAGTCACATCTGTGGAGAGTCGCCCCTGTTCACAGAAGGAATTATGGTATTTTTCAGCAGCAGAAACACCCGTAATGACTAAACGCTAGATGAATATGTTTAATGGCATACCATGGGACATTCCAGGCAAAGTAATCCATGGAGACAAGTAGGCAGCAGACACTCCACCAGAAAGTTGCACAATGCACCTTTAAAGCCTCAACGTATTCCTCTTTCAACTTAATAACCAAAGTCATGTTCTTTTACTGAACATTCACACTTCACTGTGATTGGCTGAATCCATCTGTCACTCACTTAGAGCACAACGACACTGACCAATAGGAGGCGTGGTTGGGGAACAGAATCTGTTTTCTGATAACAAAATAAATCTTAATATTGTTATAAGGTAAAGGTTATCATTAACTTGTCTAAAAGATCCCAAAGGATTAACTGCTCAATGTTATCATAATAATGATCTAAAAGACACTGTATATTACACTTGAATTGAATATCACTCTTTGTGAGAAGCTCCAGTGAACACGGTGGGAGACAGACCCCCCCCTCTCAGTGCAGCGGCGGAGCACAGCTGTCTCACACGCCATGGAAATCCCAAGGACTCACAATTACATCGGCTGAGTGAGAATTAAACAGGAGTGTGAATGGGGTTTGTGGAGCAGATGAGAGAGCGACATATTAACAGAGAAACATGTCCTGGGAGCAACGGAAAAGGACTACAAAATACTGTGAATTACTCAACCTCCTTACATGGAGGTGTCCTGGAAAACGCAAATCTTAAACCAAATATTGCCAAAAGAAAAAAAAAAAAAAAAAAGATCATCACTGTAGTTCTAAACTCGAAGGTGCACTATGTGACTTTTCTGATGGACGGTCCACCATCTGTTATTGCTTCGAATATTCCACAATATTCCCGATATGCTAAGATACAAGTTAGAAATGTGAAGAGGTGATCCTGCTCACGAATGTATGATTTTATTTTTTGAGGTATTTTAAGCAATAAAAATACCTGTTAATGAATAAATTCAAAATAATTAACTTTGTCCTTGTCTCAATACGCACTACACATTACACACGTCAGTCAAGTGTGTATTTTCTGAAAGTGCAGAAGAGCAGGGGGTGGTAAAATTTTGAATCATAGCAGTGTAAAAAGAGCTATTAGCAGTGTTGTTAAACTGCAGCTAAATTCATCATAGTCAAGTCATAGCACAGCTCAGTTTTCATTTGCTAAAAGGGTCAGGGTTACATTTATGTGAGTAACATATCAAAAAAAATATGCAGCACCATCTACGCAACCTGATTTAGAACAGATATATCTTTAAAGTGACAAACTGAATCAAGAGCTGCTGTTCATTTTTACAGTTAATTTGTAAGCCTATATTTTTCAATATTTATTGTGTGTACATTTCTTACTGGCTATATGATAAGATTTAAGCCATAAAAGGTTGAATCAATAACTTCTATGTCTCATTACAGGTGCCAACTAAGTAATAAAGTGTTTCATTTTGGTATTTATTTATTGCAACTCATGATTTTTTAGCAGAATTGTACATTTAGAATAGTTTCTCTGGTTTAAATGGGTTATTGTGTCATTGGCATAAATTGATTGATTGATTTATGTGTTTATTTATTTAATTCATAAAGCATAAAAAGACATTAAAAGTGTCACAACATCAAACATACAAGAAATGAATGAAAAGGAGCAGAAAGAAGAGTAATCTTATGTTATCCGCCCCCTTTTCCCTTTTCCAGACAATACGTCAACACTGATAGTCACTTTAAAACATTTCAAATCAGTAAATTTCAGTTCAGTCACAATAAACTCAATCAACTGCAAACGGAAATCTTCACTATTATGCAACATACTTTCCTTTTTCATACATACCCATTGCACTGGATTTTATGTTTTTAAATGCCATTATTGTACTTAACTTAGCTGCTAAATTAGCTGCAATATTATCATGTTATTGTGACAGGCCTATAAACTTGCATATACTGTACAGGGCACCAGTGCTGCCTCTAAGTATTTAACATGCACATATAAAAAATAAATGTGATAAATGTGTTAGAATCTCCGGTGTTGGTATGTTACAGCTCAAACCACAGTGAGGAAACAGAGCTGGTGGTGTTTGAATGGTGTCTGGTTAAAGTGGCGTGTGACAGATGGTGTAGAGAAGTGCTAGAGCGGACCACATATAAGACCCACAGCCTGGAGACTCTGAGGCCAGTCTGTCCGCCTCACTTCTCTCCCCTCACCATCCATCTCCAGCTCTCGTATACATTTGACAATGCCTCTTAGATCTTTCATGCTTCGACTGTACACGACATACAGCAGTGAGTGAGTAAAGCAGGGGAAGGGAGAGCGGTTTCCAGGATATGACCTTCTTAGTGGTCAGACTTCATCAAACAGTCAGCAGGGAAAGATGGATTCGATTTAAAATGCCACAATTGCTTTAGAAGTCTGTTATCCTTCCCAGCATCTGCTATACAAACTAGTTAAGGCAGCCATATTGATCTGATGAGTCTCTATTATATATGTTTTAAAGGACATAACTGGTAATTCAATATACAGTAGGTTGAATGTGTAAGCTAACTGAATACATTTGTTTTAGATCTATTCAGCTTTCTTATACCCAGAAGGGGTTTTGCGCTGATATGACTTTTCAGTTTCATTTATTGTAAGTTGACTCTTATATAATATCACAGATGAGGTAGTCCAGTCCAGTGACTATTTCTGGTACATCAGGTCCTCTTCTGTATTAGTTTCTGCTTTAAAGTACATTTTCTTTGTTTTTGTCCTCATATAGTGCCTATAATAGGTTTACATTATGGTTTAGTTCCTAATTCCTAAATTTAGATCCTAATTGAAAGGTTCTACTATAGACCTAGTTTAGTTGTGGTATTACTCAAAGTGCAAATATTTTCTGGGGAGAGTTTAAGGATTTAATTCCTAGGAAGGGTTATTTTTATGATGATTAAAGCAACATATCTTGAACCTTAAAATAAGACACAAATACGGGCTTGTCAACTTAGTCAAGTACATAAGGTTACATATTTTAATACTATAGTTTATTTCCTGAAACTATGAAATCATAAAGCAATTCCTCTAGGCCAGTGCTTCTCAAATAGTGGGGCGCGCCCCCCTGGGGGGGCGTGAGGCTCCGTCAAGGGGGGCGCGTTTGACCTCGGGGAACATGCTTTTTTATTTTTATTTTTTTTTACTGTCTTAAGGGCCGTTCACACCAAAGCGTCAAAAAACGCCTTGACGCCTCTATTTGGAGCCTTTGCATTTGAGTTTAGACGCCCCCGACGCGCGTCTTTGACGCCGTGGACAAACGGGACAAAAATACTTGACGCGCGTCCGTTGCCCTGGAAACAAGAGCCCGGTCCCGCTCTTTTCCCGAAACAATGTCAGACCAGACTGAGAGAGTGTTTTTATGACATAAAACATCAAAGGAGGAGATCGGGTCGTATATATATTTATACTCGGCTAATGACACTGGATCAGTCCCGGTCTAGTCCTGGTCTAATACCGGTCTAGTCCCGGTCTAGTCCTGGTCTAATCACGGTCTAGTCCCGGTCTAGTCCCGGTCTAGTCCTGGTCTAATCACGGTCTAGTCCCGGTCTAGTCCTGGTTTAGTCTCGGTCTAGTCTCGGTCTAGTCCTTGTTTAGTCCAGGTCTAGTCCTGGTTTGGTCCTGGTCCGGTCCTGGTGTAGTCCTCGCGATCGGCTCGGTGATTGTGGCGTATATATTTATTCTCCGCTCATGTTTGTGGTTCTCGTTCTGGTTCTCGGGTTTTTCTTCCTGATAATAACGTCGCTGCGTCTCTGGATACTCGTCCCTGATTGGTCGACGCGGCGCGTCTGACGCGAAAAGTTCAGCATTTTCAACTTCTTGACGCTGACGCCTTGGACGCGCGTCTTGGCCGCTGACGCCAAAACGCTGAAGACGCGCCGCGCTGACGCCGAAAACGCGCCGCAAAAACGCAGGACGCTCTAGTCGCGCGTCCACATAGACTTTACATAGAAAGTGGACGCTTTGACGCTTTGGTCTGAACGGGCCTTTAGAATAAAGTGCAATTGCACTTCCACTACATTAGGGGGCAGTGGCGCTCTCATTGCCAGAGTGTGCGCAGGGAGCATTCGCTCGGTGGTGTAGGAGTTTTGTTTGCACTGAGCATGCGCGCTTTGCACACAGCACAGAGTTTGAGTATGAAGTGTAGACACGAAGTGTAGCAGACCCTCAAGTGACACCATGAAAAAATATTTAACAGGGATGAGAAGACAGGTGGAGAGAAACGAAAATCTCCCGAAAGCTTAGACGAGGAAATACGACGAAGCGTATGTAGCGCTTGGCTTCACTGTGACTACGGTGGGAGACGAGGAAAGACCGGTGTGCTTACTGTGTCTAAAAATGTTGGCAGCGGACAGCATGATGCCCAATAAATTAAGGCGTCACTTAAATACATTACACCCCAATCACTCTGATAAGCCACTTGAGTTTTTTCAGCGAAAACGTGCCGAATATTGCCGACAATCATCCCGCTTGTGACTGCTACTTCAGTAAACCAGCGAGCATTGTTGGCGTCATATAAGGTGGCAGTGTTACGCAGAGGTGTACTTATAACAATTTTATAGACAAATGATACTATTTATAGTCACGTGGGGGGGCGCGAGATGTTTTATTCGTCCTAAGGGGGGCATGACAGAAAATAATTGAGAAGCACTGCTCTAGGCTTATGCGCAAGTTTGCAGTCTGTTTGAAGGTAAAGAAGAGATATGCTGTAATCATAAATGACTGCTGTGTCACGAGGCCCCTCTGAGATTTGTTGTGATGCAATGTCAACAAATCCCAAAAGCACTGTGTCCACGGTCCCCTCACATGTGTTGTTTTGCCTCACTAGTCAGTGGTACATGAAGAACACAGCACATTTGGTGTCCTCTGTGCATCTGTGTGTGACTAATATCAAGCCTAAAGCCTGGAGCTATGCAGAGATGTATGCGACCAACCCAAAGCCCCTGGGAAAATCCCCAACTTTGTCTTTTAATTAGAGATTGAAAACAGTATTCAATTATAATTCAGTTATTCTGCTTTAACCTGAGTCCAGACATGATGGAAAATAGACTTTAGCAGAGCATGAGTGCCTGCTGTATATGTATTCTATTTGACAATGCATTCTCTGTGCAGCTAACTTATATATTGTGTGAAAAACAATCAATACAATCTGCTCTTCTCATGTACAAATGCATTTGACTGTATAGCAAACGCATTTGGAATCTGCCTTTTAAAGAACAGCTGCCTAATCTTCTGCACTAAAACCATTTAGCATTGACTAAATCAGGCAGAACTCAATCACTTCACAGTTGTATTGTTTGGAATCACGCTGCATTGCAGAATTAAATCCCTAAGGCTAAATCAGGACCATATGTTAAATATTACAGTGCCAGACCTACTGTGTAACTAACTTAAAGGTGCACTAAGTAACTTTTGGGTAGAGCATCTGCTACTTGTTTGTATCCATGGAGATGTTAACAGCTTTGCCTTGAATGTTCCACAGCTCATCTATCATGCATTTATCCAGTGACAGTTACAATGAGTTACATGTTTTTATTACTAAAACACCAGAGATCTAACTTCACACACATCGGCTGTTTGTCTCTATGAAAATGGTTTATTGTCCTACTTGGAAAAATTTAGGCCAAACAATTAAGGTTGGTGAACAGAAAAATATAATAACTTTTCTGGTGGAGGGTCCACCAAATGCTTGTTTCCATAATGTCTTTGGTTTACCTTTTCTAAATGTTAAATGTATCTATTCCAAAAGAAGCAAGCAAGTGACACGGGCCAAGACCAAATTACAGGTCAGGTCTGTAAAGAGGCGACTACACTGTTGTGTTTAAGGTGTTTTTGAGCTGTTTAATATGACTTTAAACAGATCTACTGTACATGTATTCAATTGCAGGTGGTTTTATTGCTCAAAAATACCTAGAAAAACGGGTGACACTGAGCCTCTCCACAGATCTGATCTCTAACTTGGCCTGGTTTGGTCTCCATGATGACAAAAAGGTTTAATGCCATACTGTGAAACATTCCAGATAAAGCAAGAACATCACAATGGAGAAAAGCATTTGATCATACACCAGAAAAGTTACACAATGCACCTCTAATTTGGTGGGAAAAAGTCTGTTGTAAATATAAATGATAGTTTTGCACAAATCAAGAGGAAATTTGTGAAGAAAAGTAGAAAAATATGTTGAAAATTACAGGAAGTAGAGCATTAAAACATACAATAATAGAATAACATGACATCACCCTAGGGAGAATTATATCCAAAAGCTGTTTTCTTACATTTGTATTTGTCAGATAATCATTTCTGTGAACATGGAACAGTCATGGAATTCCCCAGTAGGATGACATGACTACACTGTTGTTTTTAAGGTGTTTTTGAGCAATAAAAATATGCATTTTGCACCTTTAACATACCTTTGAAGGTGATTTAAAAATAAGTAAATAACAGTCTGAGATTTTGTCCTTGAAGTTGTTTAAAAGATAATGTGAGGCAGGTGGCATACATTAAGAGCACAATAATAACCATTATGCTGTGCCTGATCGGTTCATAAATTTTGTCAGTCTCTAAAGACAGATAAAATCAACATTAACTTTTATTACCATCCTCCATCTGTCCAATTTTAGTGTCATCATTGTTTAGCTAATCCAAATAGCCAAAACCAGAGAAAAAGAAGACGGCAAATGCTAATAACTCACACTGAATGATAAAAGGAGAATGAGTGACTCCCCTCTCATTGGTGGCACTGTGAAAATTGCAACATACTGAATGCACAGCTTCTCGAGTTGTTCCCAAGCAACAAATCAGCAAGCATCCTTTTTCCAATTTACCCCTCGCTGACTCTACTGCGCTTTTTTATACACGCGATGGAGCCAATCTAGGCCAGATAGAGAGCGTGAACTGTAGATTTGGGATGTGAGTCTTTTTTTTATATGTTTTTCACAATAGGCTTTAGTTAAGTTCTGGGTGAGTCCTGTAGTTTAGTTCTAATTTCTAATTTCTGGTTCTAATTTAGGCTTAGTTAAGTCCTTCTTACAGTACACGTTTTGTTGAAGTTTAGTCTCATGAATTTTGAGGTGTGTTCGTATATGTTAATATATAGTTACTCAAGCAGAGGCGAGTAAAGTAGTCAAGAACATTTTACTTTTACATAAAGGTCCTATATTACTCTAAATCAGGGGTCATCAAACTAAGGCTCCATGCCCCTTTGACCAGCCCCTCTGCCCCCCACCACTTGAAT